TTAAAGTTGTAGGGAAGCGGCTGTTCCAACCGTTGCATTTCCAAATTCTCCCTAGTGGTGCCCAACTTTACAGGAGTGAATAAAGTGAATGGGATTGGTCGTTTATCAAGGGGGCGGGATTGTTGTGGCGGAAGGTTTACAAGCAACTTTGGTTGTGGCCGGTTTGTCGGAAGCATCTTGCTAACCAGTTAGCATCTTAGTGCTAGTAGGTTCCCAATGGGAAATTCCATTGAGACCAAGTAGCACTAAATTGGTGACTTAGAAACGACGCTGTCAAGGAACGCTATGGACAGAGGAAACATGCAAGAGGAGGAGAGTTTAGTGTCAGAGGTCGTGGATAAGTCTCCTCCTTCATAAATTTTTTATTTAGAGGAGGAAAGCGGGGACGAAGATGTTGTGGAAGAGGACGCCAGGGCGGCAGAAGCTTGGTTTGGTGTAGAAGGCTTCCAGCCGTACATGTTTGAGCCCTTGCCTCGCAACGCTGCCAGTTCTGTTAGCTCTACGCCTGCTAAAGACACAGACGTCCATCCCCATCAACACTGGGACGGAACTCAATGGGAAAGGAAATGATTCTTATTTCAACCCTTTGCGTATATTAGCTGCGACATATGAATCAAGATGCTATGATCGAAAAAATTAGATTGACAGATGGAACTTTAATATATGATTGGCTGAATTTAGGTGTACAAGCTAATGTATAACTAACTGGCCTTCATAAAAAAAAACGCAAAAAACCCCCACAGATTTTTAAGATCAGATTTTTAAAAAATGTATAAATTTTCTAACTTTTGCGACAATATAGTCTGATAAAGAGTACATTTATATACATGTTTAAGCCAGAATGATGTGAAATTTAAATATGACTTCCCTACGACTTTAAGTTGGACTGTTGACCGGTCTCACCCAACAATTAGGAATGTCTCAGTACAACTTTGTCCTTCATACCTGATATTGCAGCTTTGAGTATTGACTTATACCGATATTGACCCAATATGATATCAGCATAAATTAGACTTTGATTACTTATATTATAGGTTTGAATGATAGAAACGGCTTGATCAAGTAGTTTTATCCAAAAGGAGAACAGTAGGGATGATAATAGCTGACCCATTCATTGTTAGCCAGTGGCATACATACATGGCTCTGTGTGCGGGTTAAAGCAGGGGCGGAGTGCTTCTATCAATGTGCTTCTATCAGAGATTAGATGCAGGCCGATATATAATCTGATATACATTTGTTATAGCTGATATTGCACCGATATCGATATTAGATCAGGACGCCTGTAGCGATAAAAGCAGGAAGCCAGAAATCCCCAAATACCAAGCAGGTTTAGATGATGAATGTGGTTGTCTTCGATGGGTGATCCCATGAAGAATTTCATGAAACTTTATTTTCCTACACATGAAATTCATCACCATAGCAATCCCACCCTTTTCAGTCTCTAAACACATCCACCAACAGCATCCCTGGTTATGCTGCAGTCTTCATAATTACTCTTTTATTTGCCATAGCCTAAATTAAAATACATTTTTATTTGTATAGGGCTGGAAGGTGTGTCCAAAACTTGTAAAACGATATATTTCTTAGTTTTGGTTGATAGGAAACTAAATAAAAAATGCATTTTATTCTATTCAGTCTGCTCTCTGCTTTGAACGTGCCATAACTCTTCAGAAAGAAGGTTGTAATGTTTTAAACATGGCTACCAGCTTCACTCTGGGTGCAGGCTTTTCTGCTTTCATCAGTCCTGCTGCGACGCCTCGGCCTCGAGGAGCCGGTCCGAGTTTTTTTTTTCCCTCTTAGATTGAGTCACGGTTTGTGGGTGTGTGCTGCGTTCAGGAGCAACAGGTTTTAGCTGATAGTTACAGATGTAATCTGACAGATTTCACCAGAGGGAGAAATTATTGCATCTATTTGAGCTCACTGGAAACCAAAACAAGTATTGCAAAAAATCTATAAAGCTCATCTGATCTACATAAGCGATGGATGTCAGATATTTCTTTAAGTTGTAAGGCAAAGAAAACAAAACAATCATATCATTTTAATAACAATGGAGTTGATGAGTCATTATAAAGAGGAAGTCTAAGGAGCTGAACTCAGGACAGCTTCCTTAAGAAAATTTGATTCGATTTGGTTGTATTTATTTTAGTCCTTTAGTCATAACGCATCTCTATAAGAGCAGGAGTTCAGGCAAGCAGATGTATGCAAACCCAATGTCAAGATGTAAAATAATCAGCAGTTACAAGCATACAAGGGGTGTAAGAATATATAGATTCTGTCAAGTATTGCAATTTTTCATTAGAAGATATTTTTATTGGTTAAAAATGGCTGAATGAATTTCAGATATAAAATGTATCTACCTATGGAAGCAAATCGTTACCATATTTCAAATGAAAAAGCATTTTCAGAAATGCTTTTTCATTTTAAGAATGTAGCTGCATTGTTCGACTCATAAATGAAATTGGTAATCAATCATCCTGTTTGCATTTTAATTTTCTTCTTTAACGCCGCTCATCCTTTTACTTAATTCAAATGAAAAAGACATTTGAGATTTATTTTTCCAAATGTACCCCAGCAAATACATATCAAAATTCAATTTGAAATGTAAAATATGAAATGAAAAAACATTTTCAGAAATGCTTTTTCATTTTAAGAATGTGGCTGCATTATTTGACTCATAAATGAAAAATAAATGATAATATGTGTTGTGAATTGGCGCTATATTAATAAACTGAATTGAATTGATTTTATTAATCGATTAATCTTTAACTGGAGTATAGAGAGTGTAAAACAAGCCTTTTAGCTGAGAGAGTGACCCACTTAGAGCAGTAATTATATTAAAATTGTAAAATATATAAATATTTTGCATTTAAGATTAAAGAAGATTTCTTTAAGGAACCCTTGTCCTGCATGAATATCATGTTTTTCTTGAATGATAGCGGCTTCTTCTTGTACCACTGTTTGAAGAAGGTGTCTTCCAGAAACTGGAAGTAGGTCTGCACTGGAAAAACGATCTAGAAATAAGTTAAAAAATGTCTTAAATTAAGTGTATTTACCCTTAATTTGAGTAGGTAAATGAGATAGTTTGCCAATGGAATGAGTATTTTTACTCTTGAAATAAGATAATTAGATAATATATGCTTCAAATAAGACAATGCAATTGTTTTTTTCTTATTTTAAGTGAAAATTGTCTTGTTCCATTGGCAAAATGTTTCTTTCACCTCCTCAATCCAAGAACAAATGTAGCTACTTAAAAAAAAAAAGACTTATCTAGATTTTGATTTTTTACAGTGTTGATCTTGACTCCATCATCAACCCGAAAAGGTCCCACAAGCTCATCTTTGATGATCCCAGCCCATAGCATTACCCCGCCTCCACCTTGCTGGCATCTGAGTGGATAAGAACTTGCTGCCCTTTACTGATCCAGCCTGGTGCCCATCCATCCATCTGGCCCATCTAGACTCACTCTCATTTCATTCTTCAGATCTTTCTTGGCCCAATCTTGATGTTTTTGTCTTGTGAGTCTTCTTCAAATGTGGCCTTTTTTCAGCTTTCCTTACCTTTACCAGGTCCCTGAGTATTGAGCACCTTCTCGGCACTCCAGACATGTTGCAGCTCTGAAATATGGCTCAATGGTGGCTAATGGCTTCCTGGCAGCTTCACACTTGATCCTTCTCAATTCATGGGGAGTTATTTTGCATCTTCTTTTTTCAACATGCTTCTTGCGCCCCTGTTGGCTATTAGCCATGAACCGCTTGATTGTGCGATGATCCCACTTCAAAAGCTTGGCAATTTCCAAACTGCTGCACCCCTCCGAAAGACATCTGACAATTTTAGATTTTTCAGAGTCTGTCAAATCTCTTTTCTGACCCATTTTGCCAAAGGAAAGGAAGTTTCCTAATAATTAGGCACACCATATATAGGGTGATGATGTCACTAGGCCACACGCATCAAAATACACCACAGCGTGGCTGGCCAGAACAGTCTAAAAGGAGAAAAAATAATGACATGACCCCCTTGTTCCCCTGATCTGAACCCCATGGAGAACCTGTGGTCCTTCATGAAATCTATAGGGAGGGAAAACAGTGTCTGGGAGGCTGTGGTGGCTGCTGCACGCAATGTGGATCGCAAACAGATCAAGACACTGACAGAATCTATGGATGGAAGGCTTTTGAGCGTTATGGTGATGAAACGTGGCTATACTGGTCACTGATTTGTTTTTTGTTTCATTTCCGAATTTTGAGTTGTTATATTTTGGTTTACTGGGTGAAAATAAACATGTGAGATGGATATATATTTGTTTTTTTATTACGTTGCCTAATAATTCTGCACAGTAATATTTACCTGCACACACAGACATCCTCATAAAATGGCCAAATCTAACTTCCAAAAATGTGAAACTTTGATATTAAGGAGTCTTTGGGGTTGATTGAGAACACAACTGTGGCCCAATAATAATAAAAATCCTCAAAAATACAACTTGCCTAATAATTCTGCATATATATATATATATATATATATATATATATGTGTGTGTGTAAAACACATACATGCATGCTTGTATGTGCAGGGTTTTTGCAGAAGAGGAAGTCATGGTTGGATTAGTGCATGCATGATGTTGTTCTGGGAAGTCTGACTGTTAAGAGTCAGCCTGTAGGAAGCATTCTCTCTAAGGCGGTTGGTCTTCGTAGGTGGCGCTCTGTAGCACTGGCATTAAAGTAAAGGTTTAAAAAGCCTGTGTCTAGTATCTGTGGGGTCAGCAGGGATGTTGGCTGTCTGTCCTGTTGCTGACTCTAGAGCAGTACAGGTTCTGGGTGGAGGGAAGTGCAGATGCTGATGATCGTCTCTGCAGACATAATTGTTTGCTGTTCTTGGACTTGGCTTATTTTCCTGGATGAGTCAAACCACATAATGATGGGGGAACACATGATTCACTATAGCTGAGTTGATTAAATTGATCTGGGAGGAGAATAAAATTATTTCTTAATGTGTCTTGTCCTCAGGTTGAGTTCTCGTACCCCCCACTGATGCCAGACGAGGGTCACGACAGCAACCTGCTGCCAGAGGAGTGGAAGTACCTCCCCTTCCTGGCTCTTCCTGATGGAGCCCACAACTACCAGGAAGGTAGGGATCTGGAGGACCTCAGTCTGTACAGGCAGGGGGTGTGCTGTCATTTCTTTTCAAATAAATGGAAGAAAGGAAATAAATGGCAGCTTCGAACAGTGGCCGAACTAATCAGCTGCACATATCAGGGATCATCACATGAAGGCAAACAGAAGCAGCCGAGCCAAAGATAAGATACAGGCTGCAAACCTGTCTGTGTCATCGCTGTTTAATGGCTTTATTTTGAAGGACTGGGAACTCAAATTCAGGCCTTCCTCCAACCAGATTTCCTGTCTAATATTTAACTCCTTATCTGTAAATCTGGATCCGTATCGACCTCTTTCCTCTCTGCATAATAAATCTTTTATACTCTCTATTGCCCCAGTGGCTCCTAAACCTGTGCAGCTCAGGGAGGTGAGTGGGTTTTGGTTACAGAGGAACACAAAGGCTGCTGTGAGAAGACAAAGTGGATTACTGCCAGGTCATCAAACACGTATTTAAAGGTGAAGTTATAAATCCTTTTAGAATATACAGTCTGAAACTTTAGTTCCCAGCTTCTAGGTCTGAAATGAACCTGCTTCTTCTGATCAAGCCTCCATCCGATTTCCTCTGATTCACATTATTTTTCATTGATATATTCTGAAGATTACTCACATTTTTTAATCCAGAAGTCATTCATCTGTCATGATCCGTATTTTAGATACACAAAGAAAGGCCGACTGTGTTCAGGCTTTGGGCTTTCTTCATAGTGACGCCTCCTTTGGTGGCTGTTTAGGAAGCTTTACCTTCCTTCATTCAAACTGGAGTTTAAGACTGGATGGAGTTTAGTTTATGTCCAGTTTGGATAATATTTATGTGAATTATGAGATTTTCTGTCTTCTGAAAGCAGAAGAACCCAAATTGGTTTTAAAACCAGGAGCTCTACTCTCAGCTGAGTCAGCAGTTTCTTTCCAGTAAAACTCAGTGATATTTTAATGTGTTTAGAGGCATTTTGTGGTTATTCCTGTTGGTGACATCTCATCTGATCAAACTTCTGAGTTATTATTTCCCTCCTGTCCCTTAGGATTATCCTTCTGTATACTGCATCTTAACTCTACTAGAGCTCTTCATGTTTATGACGCTGCCGCTGGCGCCTCTCCTCTGTAAGCTTTAATCTCAGCTGTGCAACCTCTAAGACTCTCAATCAGAGAAAATCTTCTCAGAATTAAGGAACTCTCTTTGGTTTCTCCCTCTGATGAATCAAGGCGGATTGTTGCGACATTAAGTTTGCCAGAGAAAATTGAAGGAGTCTGAAGAGTCTAGACTAAAGATGAGGATCAGCTGCTGTCCTGATAGCTTTGACTCTTTATTGATCTATTCTTTAAACCTGACTTTTTTCCTGATGTAGAAATAGAATGTGTAGACTTATAATGACTAAAACTTTCTTTGCCTTTGGTTTACTGTTTTTTGTTAACCTTTCTTTTTCAAATTTTCACTAAGCTCCTTTCTTAAAAGTGGTGGTAATAAAAAAAAAACTTTAAAGAGTATAACTGATTATAATTTACTTAATTTGAAAGAGATATAAAAAAAATCATTATATATATGGCAGCAACTAACGATTATTTTGCAAAATGGTTAATCGATTAATAGTCGGATAGCAAAAGGTTCCTTAAATAAGACTTTTTGCAAAAATAAACCAAGTGAAACTAAAACATTTCTACATGAGCAGTTCTGGATAGAGCTTTTAGACTGATGAAAAAGATTTTATATCATAAATGCTAAATGTTTATCTATTTTTACAATCTTGGTAATGTTCAAGGTGGGTTGCTCTGTCACCTAAAGGCATGTTTCTAAATTCTGGTAAAAAAAACTTGTCAATTACTAAATTAGTTGATAATTATTTCAATAATGAATTAATCCGATTAATTGTTCAGCCCTAATATTCTTTGTCTGATATCCAGGACCAGTTTTTGATACGGCTCAACACAAGGGCAGCATCTCCTCATGTTTCTTGCAAACTAAACATGTTTTCAACTCCTTATTCTAATGAATAAGGCTGCATCATTTGGACAAAAATCTAAATTGTTATTTTTTTAGGGTTTTGTAATGTTTTTTTTGCTCTAAATTGTGATTTTGGTTTTATTGTTTTTCTTTTCTTTAACATGCCACAGGAGGCATGTTAAAGAAAAGCTCCTGTGTTTTAATGTTTTCATGATCTTGACTCTTTCCGTTGTCGGCGGATAAATCAGACTCGTCAATTTTTCAATAAAGAACAAGAAAAGTAAAAACATTCACTGTTGTTTTTATGCAGACAGGCCTGTGTTCGTGTATGAAGGAGGGTTTTATCAAGGCCAAAACTCAGCCCCCAATATGATTCTTATTATTCGTATTTTTTCAACACATCATTTTTAACAGGAAGATTCATTTCAATGTATCTCTCCACATATAGAATATTATTTCCATTGTACTAGTTTAAAATAGTTCTTTATAGGCATCATTCTTCCAATCATTCAGACCCACATCATCAAACTCCCGCCACCGTGCATTCTTATCTGGTTTCCACTGTAATTTAAATCTTGCTGACGTCGGAACATACAGAACGTATTTTAGATGCACGAAATTCTCTCATATGTGATGCTGATTCATTCTCAATATTTGATTCCTGTTGCTAAAAAACAAAAAACTGCCACTTTTTTTTTTTTTAACAATTTTTTTCCTTTTTTCCTAAATCAAGAGTCCACCCCTGTTCCAAGAACTCTAGCGGGTTTTTAACAGGACTTTGCAAAACCTGGACATAATCAACACTGACAAGGAATGCACTGATCTTAGTAGCAAATGCTGATAATCAATATTTACTTAAGGGCTGAAGCATTTAATTACTATTAATTGATTATTAAAATAATCGCCAACTAATTTAATCGATTAATCGCTAACTGGAGTATAGAGACAGTAAAACATTTCAGTAGCCGACAGAGTAACCTACTTGGAGCACTGCTTATACCAAAATTGTAAGAAAATAAAAAAACTTATGTTAAGATTTTTGCACTTAAGATAAAAAAGCATTTTGTCTGTCAGTATGCTCTCTCCAGAACTCAAGTGGAAAAGTTTTAAATTTTGTTTTTTTAAGATTTTGTAAAAGGTCTTCTTTAAGGGTCCTTTTGCTGTATGATCATTAATCGATTCATTGAAAAAATAAACAACAGATTAATCGATTTGCAAAATAATCATTAGCTGCAGCCATAATTTACTTCTATGTAATAATAATAATAATACATTTTATTTAAAAAGGCGCCTTTCTGGACACTCAAGGTCACCGTACAAAAGCATAAAAACAGTGTCAGAAAAAATAAAAATAAAAACATTAAAAAAATACAGAGGCTGTGACAGTGAAATTGATATTTAAAGAGAATAAGCAATCTTGAATAAGTAATATTTACTTCTCAAACCCTATGATGGTATAAATAGAAGACTATAATTGCATCTCTGCTTCGGTTAAACACCCCCCTCCAGCTCTGCACAGCCATCATCGCCACATGCCCAAACCCCTCCCCTCCTGAAGCTCAAACACAAACGTTTCTAAGCTGATCGGTTCTGGTTTTCTTCCTGTTTTGCAGACACTGTTTATTTTCACCTGCCGCCTCTCAGTGGAGACATGAAGTGTGTCTATGGGGTGTCCTGTTATCGTCAGATAGAAGCAAAGGTTGGTGAAAGCAGAACATTAGATTTTAATGTGATGCAAATGGCATCAGAAACCAGGAGAATGAAGAAGTCAGCAGTTCTGCTTGTGGTTTGAACTCCTCTGCAGGATTCAGTTCTTATTCTCCAGCAATCTCCAATGATCTATATGATGCACATTGATGCAAACAGCTGAATTTCCTGTGTGTTGTTTGTTTTCTTTCTGCCATTCATCATGGTTTGTTATTTCGGATCTTATTTCAGGCCCTGAAAGTCCGACAGGCTGACGTCACCAGAGAGACGGTTCAGAAGAGCGTCTGTGTCCTCAGTCGAGTGGTGAGTCACGCCTCGCTTCAGGCGGTCATCATCGCTCTGACACAATAAGCCTCGATTCGGCAGGAAATCAGACTGTGGGAGTTTAAAGCAATACGTTCAGCACATGATCCTGAAGAATGAAAAGTAAAAACAGGGATTAGAGTTTCTACATGCGGGGAAACGTCAACCTGAGGCTAAATAGTAATTATGAAAAAGTATTCCCAGGTTTTATTTTTTCATTATTGTCTAACATAGATAGTAATACTGGGCAACTTCTTTTTTCTGTCCTTTCTTCCATACTTTTATTCATCTACACATTCAGTCATCCATCTATCCAAGCGAATATAAAATACATTTTCTATATTAGATATTTCTTTAATCTTTGAAAATAAAACCAAAAAAGATCAAAATAAATACTCAGTTTGTAAGGCTTTTTTTTTTTTTTTTTTTTTTTTTTTTTTACATTTTACTATGAACCCTGTGGGTTTGATTGCATTTTGTTTATTTTATTGCCCCTTTCACTTATCAGGAACAAATCTGGCTGAAATGAATTTAATAAAGGCGTCACATTTGCTTAGGAGGCAGGAAGACATTTTAAACGCTAACTCTGACCTTATTTGGCCCACTGATGGCGGTCAGAGGGCCCAGCAGTCTTATGTGTCTTCACTGTTTGAAGACATGTTATTCCTGGAAGCTGCTGCTGATGATCAGCTGTTTATAATCTGTAACTTTCATTAGCTAGCAGGAAACGTCGTGATTCACAAACATGGAGAACCATCTGTCTTCTGTATTTCGTAGGTCGTCATGGTTTATCTGAATCACACAGACTGATGCTGACACCGTTTTTTTTTTTCTTTGTTTTCAGCCTCTCTACGGTTTACTTCAAGCCAAGTTGCAGCTCATCACACACGCCTACTTTGAGGAGAAAGACTTCTCACAGATCTCAATCCTAAAGGTTGATTTAAAGACCTGATGTTTAACTGAGATTCACTTCCTGTTTCCTGTTGTAATCACTTATGGCTTCCTGTGCAGGAGCTGTACGAGCACATGAACGGCTCCCTCAGAGGCTCCTCTCTGGAGGGATCTCAGGTTTATCTAGGTACCACCAGCCTCCATTAACACATCAAACGTGTCTAAGGTTGTTCTTTGAGGGAAACTTTGTTTTCTCTCCTCAGGTTTATCACCAAGGGATCTCATCTTACACTTCCAACACAAGGTTGGAAAAGACAGATTAATAAGAGGTGAAATATCTTATTTAATCTAAGAAATTTTTAAACACTTTTCTGTTTTATGACTTTTTAGGTTCTCATCCTCTTCAAGCTCATTCTGTTGGAGAAAAAGGTGAGAGTCCAGCCTGAAAATACAATGTGATCCCTATAGTGTCCTGGGTTTCCACATGTGATCCCACACATTGTGTCTCTGCAGGTCCTGTTCTATGTGTCTCCTGTAAACAGACTGGTGGGAGCCCTGATGACGGTTCTGTCACTTTTTCCAGGTCAGTAACTTCCACTCCAGTTGAAATATGGGGTTTTAAAACACTGCAAGGGGAGTTTGCTCTAGTTCAACAAAGGAGACAGCTTGATCTTCCTGGTTCTTTGAGTTTGATTATTTCATATTCAAGCCACTTTTAAACATGGAAAAGACAGGAAAACACGCAGTTTAAGCTGCTGATCTTCATAAGTCAGGAAGAAATTAGCTTCATATTCTAAAGTAACTGAGTCTACCATCAGATCACTGCAAAAAAAAAAATCTGTTTATTTCTAAAGCGCCAATTCACAACACATTTCATCTGAAGGCACTTTACAATTCAACCAAATCATACAGTCAAATTGATTCAAAGTTTTCAATCTAAGGAAAACCAGTTGATTGCATCGACTCATTGACTCAAAGGCAATCCCTCACACTAAGCATGCTTGTAGCGACAGTGGAGAGGAAAAACTCCCTTTTAACAGGAAGAAACCTCCAGCAGAACCAGACTCAGTGTGAGCGGCCATCTGCTCAGGTCGACTGGGGTTCAAGGAGACAGACGCAGACATAGAAATAGAATCAGAGATACAAAAAGAAGTAAAGATACAAAAGGAAACTGTCAACCAGCTCCACAGGCGGCCCCGTCCAGGAAACACACAGCCTGGCAGACGAGCTCCGAACCAGCTCCCATGTCAGAGGATGAAGAGAGCACATCCAGTTAGTCACAGTCAGAGAAACAGGACTACACTGAAAAACAGGCCGATCTTCAACATCTATAAACAAAGGTGTTGATGGCAGCAGCACAGCTGATATTTATCTAAAGGATGGAGTCACAGCCAAACAGGAACAGACCAGATGAAGCTACTATGAGAAAAAGCAGAGAGAGCAGAACGTTAGAGATTCAACTAACAGATTCTGCAGAGTGGGAGAATAGAGATAGAATGAAGCAGAATGATGAAAACGGGTCCTTAAGCAGTCTAAGCCTATAGCAGCATAACTATAGAGATAGCTCAGGATAACCTGAGCCACCCTAACTATAAGCTTTATCAAAAAGGAAAGTTTTAAGCCTAGCCTTAAAAGTAGACAGGGTGTCTGCCTCACGGACTAAAACTGGTAGTTGGTTCCACAGGAGAGGAGCCTGATAACTAAAAGATCTGCCTCCCATTCTACTTTTAGAAATTCTAGGAACCACTAGTAAACCTGCAGATTGAGAGCGAAGTGCTCTGTTAGGAACATAAGGAACAATCAGATCTCTGATATAAGATGGAGCTTGGCCATTTAAGGCTTTATATGTGAGAAGGAGGATTTTAAATTCTATTCTGGATTTAACAGGAAGCCAATGAAGAGAAGCCAGGATAGGCGAGATATGATCTCTCTTTTTCATTTTCATCAGAACTCTGGCTGCAGCATTTTGGATCAGCTGAAGGCTTTTAACTAATGTTTGGGGACAGTAGTAGTCCATCCTTAAAGTAACAAATGCATGGACTAGTTTCTCAGCATCACCCCTGGACAGGATGTTTCTAATTTTTGCAATATTACCCTGACTCCACAAAGTATATTTTCATTAAAACAAGTGCATTTTTCATAAGACAATTTACATTTAGAATAAGAAGAAACAATTGCATTGTCTTAATTCAGTGCATAATATCTAATTATCTTATTTTAAGGGCTAAAGTACTACTTCCATTGGCAGATCATTTTTATTACCTGTTTAGATTAATGGCAAATTACATACATTTTTAGATTGTTTTTGCAGTGAGAAAAGATTGAAAAATTAAAATGAAATAAAAACAACTGGAGCTGATATGTCTATTATTTGGTTTTGAATATTTAATGCAGATATTTTGTAAATAAAATCTTGCCTTTTATAGCAATGTCTATATTTAAAAAACAATGAAAGTTTTATTTAAGTTCTTAGCAGCTATTCTGAGAGGTCACAAGAACCATTCAGGCTCTGCAACCTCAGGGCCCGGCCCCCAGCTACCAAACCAAGGCAGTTCTAATTATGTCATTATCTGAAATAATTCTCTACTCTTCTACTTTGAAATGAACAAATCTAAATTAGCTACTTCTAAACCATTTTCTGTGGCGTTCTTCAAGGTTCAAAACTCAGACCACTGTTGATTATTTTTGGACATAGAGAATTAGACAAACTTTATTGCAATTTTGTTTACGCAGAGTGTAAACAAGACAACATTACCATGCTTATAGCTTACAACAGTGAAATGAACATTCCCATTCTAAAGTGCAGCAGAATGTAAACAGTGTTGGAGAAAAGGAAACCGGTTTAAAAATAATAGTGCAAAAAGGCATTAATATGGAAAGGTTCAGTGCAGTGCTGAAATAAATACGTTGCAGAATACAGTATAACATTGAGTTGTGTCCTATTTTAAAAGGATTATAAACGCTTTCAGTCATGTTGGTGCAAAATAATGTTGTAAGTGTGATGCAGAGTCTAGTTTAGTCTGATAGCAGCGGGGGATGAAGCTGTTGCAGAACCTGCTGGATCTGCAGCGTAATCAGAAGTTATTTAAGTATAACTGAACAAACAGCTTTTTAAAAAATCATGGACTCCATCTGTCATATTCATCAGATTATCAGATGCTAAATGCTAACAGCGTGCAGTAAGTGCAGGTGTGTTGACATCTGGATGCTTGTGTAGGTGTGATTGAACACGGCCTGGTGGATTCTTCACACTACAAACCAAAGAGCAGCGTTTCAGACGACATGAGTGTGGTGGAGAGCGGCTCAGGAGCAGAGGAGTTTGTCTCCGTGTCCGTCACCGACATCGCCAACACCACCATGGATCTGGAGCCCCAGCCAGCTGTAGAGTCTCTGTCCTCTGGGAACAGCACGGAGGGCGACAACAACCACCTCAAAGCGCCCTCGCGGACATCGCCGGAGTCCTCCGAGAGCGACTGGGAGACTCTGGATCCCAGCGTGTTGGAGGAAGCAGCCCCCAAAGAAGCAGCCGGCGGCGGGCCGGAGCTGCAGGACGCCTTCGACTCCACAGCTGGGACGCCCATCACAGTGCAGCCGCTGGGGGTGGGCGGTCAGGGAGGGGTCACCCAGGGCCTGGTGTCGGGTCTGGAGGAGGACCAGTACGGCCTGCCGCTCGCCATCTTTACTAAGGTAACTAAAACCACCTGTTGTTAACGTGCTGCATCCAAAGAATGAATCCCATCATGACTTTATAGCTTCTTTTCTACTTTATTTAATAGTTAATGCGTTGCTTTTGTTGTTTCCAGGGTTACCTGTGCCTACCTTACATGGCTCTGCAGCAGCATCACCTCCTGTCAGACGTCAGCATTCGAGGCTTTGTTGCTGGGGCAACCAACATCCTTTTCCGCCAGCAGAGGCACCTCAGTGACGCCATCATTGATGTAAGTCCAGCTCGTTCAGAGTGTTTAATCTAGAAAGGGGCCTTATTGATCAGAAGGCCTTCGCTTCTGCAGGTGGAGGAAGCTCGGGTCCAGATCCAGGACCCGGAGCTCCGAAGGATCCTGAGCCTGACCACAGCTGACCTGCGCTTTGCCGATTACCTGGTGAAACACGTGACCGAGAACAGAGATGACGTGTTCCTGGACGGGACGGGCTGGGAGGGAGGAGACGAGTGGATCAGGGCTCAGTTCACCCTCTACCTGCACTCCTTACTCTCCTCTGCTCTACAGCAAGGTGAGCGGGGATCTGTAGAAACGTCCGAGAATAAGGATTTTACTTCAGCGATTGTAACCGCAGCCTGAACCTAAACTCTTCTTTCTACTCGCTGTCTCAGATAATGAGAGGCTGCTGGCGGATTATGGAGTGCCGTTCGTCGGAGCGTGGAAGAACACACACAACTTCCGCATTTGGTTCAGCAACAAACATCCTGGCATGACAACAATCACTCCAGGGTAGGTGGATTAACCCCATAGCTGCCAGTCACACTGCACCAGGGAGAGAAATAAGGGTCAGGAGTCAGAGACGTTTTACCATCGCAGGTTCAGTTGATCAGTAATGAAGGTACTCTAACTGAAGCATTAGTACCTCATACAAGACAGAAAACAGTCCCTCAGCATGATACTACCACTGCCATGTTTAACTATGGTGTGTGTTTGAAAACATCAAGTCTGTACCAAACATGCCTTTAGAAATATTGGCCTATTGGCTCCACATAATGATGCTGCCACTGCTGTGTTTCACTCTTCACTCCGACACCTGAGTTAAGGAACACAGCTGCGAAAGCTGAAAATGTATGAAGTAAAATTATAAAATAAATTTAAAAAAACATCTAAACTAACGTCAGGGAAGTAAAGAAGAGCGATCAAGATAAACTGAACTGAAACACCACCGGATTTGATAGCTAGAAATGTTTAAAAAGACAAACCTTTAGGGTTTTTGTTGTTGTTTTTTTTAACAATATATTAGAATATAATAGAGAATCCCTTCATTTTCCCACAATGGGGAGATTGCGGTCTTTACAGACTATTTAAGAGGAAAGAAGAAAGGAAACTTTTATTTATTGTTAATTTTAATATTATTTATTTAACTTATTTATTTATAAATAAGTGAAGTAAGCTCCATAATAATGTTCCTTTTCTCTTCTCCAACATCCTTTGTGTTGCAGCCACCCGTTCCAGGGCCAGTACAGTGTAGCTGATGTGAAACTACGACTCTCGCAGTGAGTATTATTCTATTTCCCTGTTGTCCGCCCTTTAATTCTGACATTCTTTGAATTACAAATGAACATTTCTAGTTAAAAATAAACTCCAAATGAGACATGAATACAAAAACTTCAATCAGAGACTCAAAGCGGTGACTCTGCTGCCCTCTATTGGTGAAGAGAAGAAAGATTTGTTTGAATCCAGCATGAATCTGCCTGTGTCTCACCAAGGCTTTCATTTGCTGATTATTGTCCTGTTTAAGGTGAACAGCACATTTAGGGGTCAGGACTTTGTGGTGCTGTAGTTGGTGTCTGTGTAATTTCTCAGTAATTGCAAACCACAAAACGGGAATCTTTGTCTCACATTAGAGCAATCTGTAGTTGGAGCAAACAAAACTGACAGACGAAAAGTCTTCAGAAAAACTGAGCAAATTTCATTTTTTTCTGTGATTTAAACCTGTTTTATTTGTTACTTAGCTATATTATGTTTTAATGTTTAATAATAAAAGTTAGGACTGGGTATTTTCGCCAAAGTCATGAATCAATTCAATTTTGATTCATACAGTTCTAAATCAATTAATTTCGATTTGATCTGTTTTTACAATAAGGAAAGTGGTTCAATTGTGTTTCAAAATGCAAAAGTATTTTATTTTTTCCTCTCACATTAAACACAAATTGCAAACTTGTAAATCAGACAGTTTAAGCTTGAGATGTGAACAAAACTGTCTCAAAAGTGCAAGCTTGTTTGTGAAAAGTGGAAAAAGTGAAGCCTCACCTGAGCAAGCAGACGTGACACAGCAGGGTCACAGCTGACATTCATGAGCTGCGTTATCTTCCCTGAACAAACTATATTTGCAGCGTTGTCTGTAACAACTACAGGATGCTTTCTGGTCAGTCCCATTTGTTAATGTCTTCAGTCAGCCTATTGGCTATATGTGCAGCTGTCTGGCTTGAAGTCATCTTGAGTGCATCTTTCCTGCTCATTTGAATGTGGACGTCACCCGTGTCACTATAAAACTAATCCATCTCATTCCCTAGAGATCGATTCTGCAAAAATGTAATTGATTCAAAATCGATAAAATAGATTTTTTTACCCAGCCCTAATAACAGTGCAGCTGATTGATTGATAACTTCCTGAATTCACTTTGGATCAACCTCCCTGAGCTTTTTCAGCCTCATAGAAACAGATCATCATGGGCCTTGTCGACTCGTCTACAAACCTAATATTATTTGTAACCTGAGGCCAAAATGATAAATAATAATTTTCCTTCATTAGCTTCAGTGTTTTCCTCTAGCCTGCTGGGGTCTAATTGATTTTTGATTGCCCTATTAACTGCCCAGCCCGGTATAACTTTAAGTTATTTGTTGACTCTTTGCTTCCAGAATTACTTTCCTCCCATTTGTGGTTCAGTTTTTGCTGGATTCATGGAAATCGTCTTAGTTTGAACTTGAGCTCTTCTTAATGATATTTTCAGCTCCTTGCAGTTAGTTTTTTCCCCTTTTTTCCTACTTTGTAAGGTTCATCTACCTCCAGCAGATCTTTCACTGTTCATTTAGCATCTATAATGACCCTGAAAGCAGTTATGTCAGTGATGACTGGTGATGACCCATATAGAGGTCTATCTGAGTCTTTATGCACACCCTGACACACACGCATCACAGGTGAGAACATTTACCTTAATGAGCCAAATGATCCCATGGGTAACTTCCAGGTAATGTAATTTTGTGATCAAGCCATACTATGAGTGACACACGGTTTTTATTGTTATTATTCTTTAGAAGGTAATCAGTAGATTCTGGCAGGTTATGAACACAACCACACATGGATCAATTGATCCCTGATGGGCTTAGAGGCACACGTGTTAAAAACATGGTGATTATAGTTCAAACAACATGAATGTAACTAATAGAAAAAGTCAAAATGCAACATTTGTTAATTAAAGCAGGTCTTCGTTGTTTCTTTTCTTTATCGGTACATATTTTCACCAACTGTCCCTCAGTTATAATGTTTTTTTTTCATTTCCTGAATTTTTAACATTTGTTAGTTTTCATGTTTCATATTTAATGTCTGGTCTCATCTGCAGATGTAGATAAAAGCTCTGTGCTTCTAGACCAGAGATCTTAGACTTAGACAGAACTGTGTTGATCCCTTGGGAAGACTCCCTCCGGAAATTAAGGTTACCAGCACCTTACAGGGCAAAAAAGTTAAATTAAATTAGAATTAAGCAAAAATACAAATACAAATAAATATGGAGTTCACATTTAACAGAAAAAATAAAAAAATACAAGTGTTGCTAGATCTAAGACCTTTACGATCCAAAGAGCCTTTTCTGACCCCAGTCCTGCTAAATAAACCTGTTCAGAGCCACAGATGTTACATGACCTCTATGACAAAAAGACTAATTGCTATTTCTGATGAAAATTTTATTTTTTTAAGATGAGAACAGACCTGAAACAACCAGGCAGCACCACAGTTCTGCAAAATCACTGTGTGCCAAAAGCAGCTGAATTTCTGTTAGGTTTGGTTTCTAATGTAGGATCAGCATCAGGGAATGCAAGCTGCAGACTACGATCTGCACTGTTTTCTTCCAATCTTTATAAAACAAAGTAGTGTATCTTCATTATGGTGATTAAAAAATGTTAAGGGTATAGTGGGAGATTTTTGTAAATTTTTTAAAAGACCCACCCTCTCCACTTTTGGGTAGTGGTGGCCTAGTGGTTAGGGCATAGAATCCTGAGGTTCTGAGTTCGAGTCCCACTCCCACAGTATGCTCTCTGAGCAAAGACTCTTAACCCCACACTGGGCCCCATGAAGGCAGCCCACTGCTCCCCAAGGGGATGGGTTAAATGCAGAGATAAATTCCTCTAATGTGAGATCAATAAAGTTCAATTCTTACTATTATTCATTTTTTTTTTTAAATGCACAATACCCGCTCCTGAGATTGAACGCCTATTAAACGCATGTGAGAGCATTCACAAGCCCATTTCTCCTCGTGCACGCTCTGTTTTAAAGTTACTGTTTGCATCACTCATAAAAGCTTTTTTCCACAATGTCAGACTCAGCACCTGTAACGCCTGTAATTGCCTGTAGGAGGACGTCTAGCTCTCCTAGTTGCTTTTCCTTTAATTTGCTTCAAACGTGGAGCTGTTTCAGGGTCAGCACTTTGAAAATGTGATATTGGCAGCAGGCAGCCGACGTGACGTCAGCTTCTGATGAGCCCGAGCATCTCCAGGGTCGCCCTTCAGAACTCAGCGGGTGGATTTCTGAATCCGGCTTAGATCCCTTCAGCTTGATGAATACTGTATGGTGCAGGCAGTAGCAGTCTATGCATGGATCTCTGCAGGCTCGGTGGGGGTGGGAGGGTTGACCAAGGGTCTCATAACAGCCAGAGTCATTATTAATGAGCGAGCTTCATTCTGACAAACAGAACCGGGGACTTCTTCAGTCCCTCGGCTAAGCTTTCGTTCCAGGAAGCCTGGATGAAAGACGACTCCATGCACAGCTGGAGCCCTGCAGGTAGAGTTACCCTCCAACCTAGAGAGCCGCCGATCCGGACCCCGCTCCGCTCTCACCTTACCTTTTGGTGTTTGGTGTCACAGCGGCTGGGACATTTCTCGTAAAAGCCTTAGTAAACAAACAACCTGCAGCCATTCATGATCTAATTAGAAGAACATATATAAACTAGTATATAAACTATTCTGTTGTTTAGCTCCTGCACATTTGTATTTTGATGATTTTAAAATATTTTGCTGCACTTTTCATGCAACAGACCCATACATGATAGTGAGATCAATACATTTTTTATTTCATTTCTTTAAAGAATGTAAAAGTAATACGTACCTTCTTCACAAATTTGTTAATTGCATAATTTGAAAGAAAAAAGCTGTAAGATGCTCTAACTGCTGTTGAAAATAATAAAAAAAACTATTTTAATTTGATTGAAATACAGATTATATTAGCAGTATCCAAATGTCATTTTTAACATAAAACTTGATGTTATATGAATTTAGGTAAATTCCCTGAAAAAAGCTGAACATTTTTGGCTTTTTTCCCCATTGTGGAGGATCTAAAGAAAGAAAAAATAAAATAAATAAATAAATAAAAAATAAAAACAAAAAAAGGATCTTATTTTCTGAACACAATTGAAGACAACATCAGCGTTTTCCCCTCTGGCCTGAATCAAGCATTAGTTTCCACTTCCTGCTGCGTCATTCACTCTGGGATTGATGTGTTTTTTTTCTCTGAAGATATTGGAGCAACATTTCTTCTGACAACATGAGCTTGATAAGCAGTAGGAGCAGGATGTTAACACAACCAGACCTTTACTAAAACAAACTAAATAATAAGCTAAAAATAAATGTTACTTCTAATACTGAAATAAGCTGAGTTAATTGGTTGGATCTCCGTTTCTGTGGCGCCTGTCAGCTTCACAACATTCAAGTATTGGAAGTTAGTTTGGAAGTTAGCTTTGGTTGCTTTTTTCCCACTAGATTGAATAATCTGGGTTACGAATAGATATAAAACACCAAGTTTTTTTTTCCTCCTGTAAATAAGATATTACCCTGTTATTAACTGCACAATAAATCACCTCCAGGGGCTTTTAAAAAATAAAATTAAAGTGTTAAATCTTGGTGCTCCCTTTTAATGCTCTATATGTTCAGGCTTCGCCCTATATTTGCAACCTAATCAAGCCCTACACCTGGACTCTGGGTCTGAGGTCATCTGGTCAGAAACCGTTTAAAAACTCAGGGAATTGATCTTTTACAGGCGCTGCCCCCAGCTTTAGAATAAACTTCAGCTGCGCTCTCTGGTCTCTGTAGATGTGTTTAAAAAGCTCCTTAAAACCTTTTTGTTCTAGTCCGACTTCATCAAATTTAATACTGTTATTTCAATATATTGTTTTATATACTTCTATGTTTTTATGCTTTAGTAAATCCTTATTTTTTTAATATTTTCTTATCTCTGTGAAGCACTTTGTGAGTCTGTAAAAAGCTGTATACCAATAAAGTTTGCTTACTTGCTTGAATTATAGGTTTGTGCAAATTTGATATTTAGGCAAAATATTTTGGGACATAGAGGCATTTAAAGGTGCTGTATCATTCAAACTCCAAATTTTTAGCCCTTGAAGATTTTAACTAAGTTGTTTTAAATCTGTTCAGTTTCCTCTTTCCCTTGTGTTTTTTAAACGTATTATGGAATTTGCTATGGAACTGCTAAAAAAAGCTGCTTACCAGATTTGCAGTGCCACCATTTTATCTCAAAGTTATTTTTGTCGTCCAAGCTCAAGGGTGCCGAAGCTAGAAGTGGATAAACTAAATGTTTAGTTGTTGAGTGTAATAACTAGGGCTGAAACAATTAATCGTAATTAATCAATTACTGAAATAATCGTCAACTAAATTAGTAATCGTTTCATCTTTAACTGGAGTGAACATGCCTTAAGCTGACAGAGCAAACCAACTAAAGCAGTAATTGTATCAAATTCGTAAAAAAAATAAAAAATCATCATTCTGGAATATGATTAAAAAAAAATTCTTAAAATATTTTTTTCAATATGCTCTATCCAGAACTCCACTAGTGGAAAAGTTTCATCAGGCTTAATTTATAAAAAGTGTTTTTTATAAAGATTCTTGGACTAAATGATTGTTAATCTAGTAATTGAAAAAAACTTTTGAGAGATTAATCGATTTGCAAAATAATCGTTTGTTGCAGCCCTAGTATTAACTTCCCCCAAGTTTCGTTGCCGATAGCTAATTGTATCGGTGACATGAAGCTACAAAAATGGCCAAAAAGGATGGAGTGGAACCCTCTGGGACCTGCAGGATGTCAGGGCGCACCAAAAAGAGAATATGCGAAAATAGAACGTTCCAAATAGAGGTTGGCTGACAAGCTAAATACCAATTAAATCACATCAAAACATTGCATTTAAACCACAAATGAATAATTTAGTTGAAAAAAAAAACATTTGAAAGCCCCCAGCTACCAGCTTTGCTCACTAAAGTGGAGAACTTTTTTGGAGAAGACAAGGGTCCCGAAAACACAGCCCTGAAGGACGCCACAATTGGATGAGTCCAGCATGTTTTATTTCTGCTTTAAAGGTTTTATAGTTTAACTTCGTCATCTAGTGTGATGTATTTTGTTTGTAACATTGTGTTTTTTGGTTAATCCAGAGGAGTTTATCACTTTTTTTTCTGATTTCCCTTCACATGCATGTGATAAGATCCAGTAAAATTTTGGTTTATTGACTACTTATTTATGATGCATTTTCTAATTTATTTATCCTAAAATATCTGTTTTTGGATATAGTCCTCCCACCAGAAATCCTGTCCCGTTTCCCTGCACGGTAAACACCCAGTTATTTTCCTGAAACTTGACTCTGGATGAAAGAGGAAGGGGGGCGGGGCCAGTGGGGGACACGGGGCCTTAGGCGATGGATCCTTCTTGTCAGGATGTCAGTTCAGAAAGTAAAAGGCGAGTCCATCCGTTGCACTCTGCTTGTCACCGGATGAAAGATGTAATAAAAAGTGGAAGCTACGGTTCACTTCCCAGTCACCATGATGGTTGAGGGTTCTGGAAGCTCTGGGGGGCAAAACTAAGGCTGACCTTTTTCTCTTTCCTCTCTGTGACAAAGAGCAGCTGGTGACGAAGACCATCTTAGTAAACGAGTTGTGAAGAGACAAACTGCTGCAGGCAGATAGGATCTTTCTTTATTGGTGGCCTCGCACATTACGCCACATAGGATGTTTATCTGGGTCAGCCTAGGAGATGAACAGTGGAGGCAGGAGCTCAGAGTTAAAGCTTTGAAAAAATAACTGCTCCTAGAAAAAAAATAAAATCCAAAAAAAAATAAATAAATAAAAAGAAGAAGCACTTTAGGGTTAAAAGTCTAATTAAGGAGACTAATTTGATGCCTTTAAAATGACACTCTGATTGACAGCCGTCTGCTTCCTGCAGCTGCTGACACTATATTCTTTTTAACAACGCTGCTGCAGCCCTGGATCATCCAGGAGTGAGATTCCCGCTGAATGTCAGGTCAGCCGGGACCCACAGGAAAGGCTGCGTGTTGGACCCACACCAGGGGAGGTTGCAGTTCAGAAAAAGCCAGACGGTGCCGCCTTTAATGTTGGCTGTGAAACACTGCCAGCTCGTTTCTGTCCTCAGATCAGCTCTGATCCCCCGATTTTCCAGACGGCTGCTCATTTTCTGCTGCTACACGAGCGACTCGGTGAACTCGAACAGCATCGAAAAGTTTAGCCGTTTCATTAGTTTGATTCCAAAAGTTAAAACTGATAGAAACTGATTGTGCTGGACAGGTTAGGCAGAAAAGGTCACTGCTGGCTTTTCTAAGGCTGCTGTAAAGTGTACCAATAGGGAGGAAGACGACAATGAAATACCAATAAATAAAAATAATAAAATACAATAAAACACTGTTTAAATATGATGCCTGCTAACTGTAGAGTAGTCCAGCAGACAGTCATTGACCCCTTTTACAGTAATATTAAGCCTCTAAAGATCATTAGTTGTGTTTCCATTACAAATGTGTGCAAAACTTTCACTAATGAAAAATGCACTTTTTCAAAATAGTGGGGTTTCTTTTAAATAAGAAGTAAACTAAAACTAAAATTGCACATGAATGTTTCTTTATGACAACTCTTGAAAACAACATGGCAGTGGCAGATCTTAACACTTATATGATTTATATCCATCATGTGAATTAAATATAATAAATACTCATTCTTCTCATTTTGCTTCATCATCCTCCAACTACGTCTGGTCTTCTTCTTCTTCATCTTTTTAGAAAGCAGTAAGGTTTAGGTGCAGATCATGTGACTCATAATGTAAAAAACTGTGTCGGTTACAGTTTTGGGAAATATAAGAATTTCGAATACCACTAGAAAAATACCTCACTGAAGTGTGAAAACGTTTTTCTTTTTTTTTTAGTTATGCAGTGTGTCCATTAAGCAAGTATATTTATTCAAATCACAATTTGATGGTTAATGGAAACGCAGTTAGCGCTAAAGAAGATGCTGGATCCCATTTCATTAGTGAAAAGTTTAAAAGTCTGATTGAAAAAAGATGCAACAGCCACAAGAATTCACTTTATTTAAATACTAAAATCAACCATCATTTATTCACATTGTTTATACAGAAATGAGTAACTCTGATTTAATACCTTTTAATGCTCTTTTAATTCTTAGAAATAATTTTAATGCCATGAACAAGTACCCATGACTCTCATATATATATATATATATATATATATATATATATATATATATATATATATATATATGTGGGTATTTATGTGTGTATATATGTGTATATATATATATATATATATATATATATGTGTATATATGTGTGTATATATGTGTATATATATATATGTATATATATATATGTATATATATATGTATATATATATATATATATATATATATGTATATATATATGTATATATATATATATATATATATATAAAAAACACAGCAAAATCCCTCGTCAACTTTACCGTCGACAGGCCGCAGCCATGTTCCGAATTCCTCGTTTTTCCACCACTTTTGTTGAAAGTTGCATTTTCCCATTCTCTAGCTTTTTCTCCGCCTTTCCGAACATACGGCTTTATGATCAACTGGAAGCAGTTCCGTGCAAACACTTGGAACCAGTTATCTGATTTATCTGAAGAAATTGTTTTACAAACGTTTTTTTTTTTTTTTTTTTTTTTTTTTTATAAAATTTTAATGAACTGTAATGCCAATTAAGGCCTTAATTTAAAAAATAATAATTTCATGACTTTTAATGATTTTTAATGACCAGCGAAAACCCTGATACAGATTTATTTTTTGTTTATAAATGCTCTGTCCATTATGCTGCATGCTGCATTTAATAGCTCCATTTCTTTCCAGTTTATTTTGTTGTTCAGACATGTTATTATACGGCAGATAACAGCATTTATGTTCTAAGTTCTGCGTCTGCTCTTCTCTCTGCAGTTCAGTGCAGAACAGCGAGCGGGGAAAGAAGATCGGAAACGCCATGATCACAACCAGTCGCAGTATGGTCCAGACTGGGAAGGCAGTGGGTAAGAAACACTAGTGCATTTTAAGGTGTGTAGAATCAGAGGGCTGTGCCTGTGTCTGAGAGAAAACGTTCCTGCCCATCAGGTCAGTCGGTTGGTGGAGCCTTAACGAGCGCCAAGTCTGCCATGTCCTCCTGGTTCTCCACGCTGGCTCAACCTGCACCGGTAACCACAACCTCCGATCCTGAACCTGCCTCTGAGGTGAAGCCATGACAGTCGGTGTCCACAAATGCCCCAGTGACTCTTCCTTACCCCTTAACCCTCTGACTGTGAAGCCTTAGCATCAGTGGAATGACAGATGAAGGAATCAAGCAGACAAACAATCACTCAACCATAAAACCCCGGCGGTGTCCCACCTCAGCCAGCAGATCCTGGGCTTTGTTCAGCAGCATTGTTTTAATTGGATGAAACTACAGCAAAGAAGGCAGCAAGTTTACTCTACATCCCATAATCACTGCTTTGGATGCAAAAACCAAACTAAGACATTAGAGGGTTTCTTTTAAAATGGACAGCTGCTCAATGCTGCAGTTGGTGATGCTGAATAGGGGATGTAAAGGCTGGGTTAGGGCTTGCCGATTTCACTTTGGCATTCATACTTTACAGCTTTTCAATAATATGCTGCAAAAATAATTTAAAATGCCTTGGAAGCAGGATTCTTAAAGAAGTCTACATTTTTAGAGAGAATAGTTGTTTTTTTGGCTCAGGATGTCTGTCATTGTTTCTGTTGTAACACTGTGGTTGTTTTAGTGAAGTGAATTTTTATAAAATTTTAGTGTAATGTTTAATGTTTATAATAGATTCATTATGTAACCAGATAAAAAAAGGGGCAAAACAGATAAGATTTCTGCGAAACTAAAAAGTTACTGACACTCGGAGAATAAAGGAGTTTAAACAAGTTTATCAATAAAAATATTAAGATTTTATTTAAACAATTTGAATTTAGGCAAACTCGGATATCAATACAATTTTTCTCCTCTTAGACTAATTATAAGAAATGGGGCAAAGATTAGAAATAAAAAAAAAAACATAAATTAGCAGATTTCCTTTATATAACCATATTTTACTCTTTCAGCAAACATTTAATACATTCAGTGTTGAATAAAAAAAAGAGTTAGGGTTAGCTATCATTAGCATTAGTTCTCTATTTTTTTATGTAGTAAGTTCTAAATATGAATCAGTTAGTAGATATAAGAAAAAAGGTTTATTTGCTCAAAATTACTTTTGGCTAACTTTCAAATGCTAACCATTTTTCTTCCTAAATTTAACATGTTTTTTTTGTTTTGTTTTCTTTAGCTTGGGGAAATGAAACTAAAATGTTAAATCTCCACATAAATTAGATTTTCTAATATACAGACTCTCCAGGTGTTTTCACTGTCTATTTTTTTTTTTACTTGGTCATTCTTTTAATCAAATAATTAAGCCAAAATCAATAATTTTAGGTAAATAATTTCCAATTTTATCTATCTGTCTTTTATATTACCCTGCTGCTTTGTAACTCAATTTAAAGTTAATTAAAACATAGTTAATACGTGTTAGGCTCTAAAAATCTGAACTGTTTGCTTTAATTATCCAAATATTAGCTTCCCCCTTTTTTTTGATGGCTAGCAAAAACTGACACCAATGCTAACGGTTTTAATTAGGATAACACGTTTCCTGAAGTACTGGATATTATAGTTATTGTTTGGACATACTTTTTCAGATAAAAATAATAATTACTGTGAGAACATTTAGGGACGACAGGCTGAACTCACTTATTGAAAAACAAAAAATACACACCAAGCAGTCTGTAAGTTGCAAAACAAAATAAAAAATAATAAAAACCTGTTTCCTCAGGTGAAAGTTATTTCCTATTTTTTAAAACTAAAATCACTTCGTCATATTCTTCTACAAGATACCTATTTTTGTGTACCTAATAATTAATTATATTGAAAAAAAAATGGTTTTACATTTTAGCAACCTAAGCTAATTTAGTTAGCATTTAGTTTGCTAGCTGAAACACTAAATGCCTTAGCCACCTTATTATTTTTATTCCAGAGTTTTCACTTCCTTTCATTTCATTCACGGTAATAATAATAATAGTTATCATGTGAAAAGTACATTTTAAGTTTAAATAATTCAAGAGCTTATAAGTTGTACTATTTAAGTTTATTTAGTTGCTACTTTGCAAAAAATGACACAACAGATTCACAGAATGTCAAAAAATATTTCACTAGTGAAATATATTTTTGTGAGAAAACATTCAGAGATCACCCATAGATTGAAATATAAATATTAACCACATTTTCTTTTTATTTCAATAAAAAATTGTAGAATAGCATAATTAACAGCAGTTTGTGTAGTGTAATGTAAGATTTTCCTGCTTTTTATTTACAAATGAAAGAAAAGTATAGATGTAATCAGAGGTACTGAGTCAGGAACAACCATAGCATTTTATTGTTGATTTTATCACATTATATATAGTTTATTCTGACCACTGGTTGTTCTTATGAAGAAATCTTGATACACACTACATTGTTATCAGCACTGCTATTAAAGCAGCCTGTTGTAACCAACTGGGTATTATTTAGCTTTTCTTATATATAATTAATTAGCTAACAAGTATTTTACCATCACATTAAGCAATATGTGGATTTTAATATTTCTGTATCGATTCTTTCAACTCAGATTACCTTTTTAAAATTTTCTTGAACCTTATATCTAAATGTATTTTTTTTTAACGATAACATTTAGCTGTTTACAAAAACATATCATAGTGAAGGATAGAAAAATACTTCTTTCCACTCAGTAAAAAATACTAAATTAAAAGTATTCACTATCTCTTATAGTAGAAACAGAAAAATATTTTTTTTAAAAAGCAAAATATGTCTAGAAATTTACAAAAACTTTTTCTTCCAAGCTTTTTGAGGATTTTTTTTTTTAAGATTAAAATGTTTTGTTGTATACATGTTGCTATCTTAATGAATTAATAGACTTTTTTTTGCTGCTAAAACATCCAACAATGCTGAAACAACCATAGTGCTGCTACAGAAATCTTTGAGAAGAAAAATGTCCGTCCTTTGAGTCAGAAGCATCCTTTATTCACAAAGGAACCTCTGAAGGTTGTGTTTGCAGGCTGTCAGTAACCTTTCCCAAACCCTTTTCTACTTTTAGATAAATATATATTTGGAGATTCATGGAGACCTAAAATAGCCTGACGACAGCTGACATATTTATTTGTTGTGTAGCGTGTTATATAAAGAAGAAAAATATCTATGTTGTATCATAACACTGGAAAGAAAATGGACCACTGTGTTTATATATTTGCACAAGGCAGCCATTATACTCTTTTTGTGGATCTTTACCTTGCGCAGCTGTTCCTTTCTGAAGCGCTTACAGGATCTGTTCCCTCCATGCTGCAAACGTACAATTAAAAACAGTCCTGTGAGCATGCTCGCCCAGTTTGTTTCCAGATAGATGTTAAATGTTCACTGTGTTGTTTTCATGTTTTGGAGTCTTTTGAATTACTTGTGCTGAATAAGGTTTTTTTTTTTTTAATCTTCTGATACATTTTCATTTTGTAATTAAACCGATTGAATGTATTGTGAGCTCAATTACATAAAATATTTTCTGGAGAGATGCTTTTGATGTATCAGAGAAGGAAGATATAAAACATGTTGCTGTATAAAAATAAATAAAGGTTGCACTTTTATTTTTCGGAAGCAGAAGTCACTTCCTGTCACTTTGGTCTTAAAATGGGTCAGGGGAACAATTTGATGAGCAGACGCGTGTTTATAGAGAGCGTATTTGTGTGACGCTACAGAAGCAGATTGAGGGTAACCTAAAGCAAAACTAAAGCTATCCCTGTAATTAAATATTATTGGGGATTTATAAATGAATTGGAGTCTGTAGGTATAATTATGAGAGTGAATAAATAATTCAAATTTAAAATAAGCATAGTTGAAAAAGATTTGCTAACTGGCTACTGAAGAATTTAATTATAAGCAAATTTAAATACCTTAAATATTTTGATGTTTGTTTTTTATTTTACTACAGGTAACTTTTCTTTTTTAAAGGTTCTTTTTCCAGGTGGATCATCTAAATAAGTGGTCCTGCTAATTGTCAATCATTCTGGTGATCTGTTTATTTAAGGCCGTCCTACGTGCTCTTCCCCATTTTCACTTATCAATGGTGAGTCTAACATAGTGGAAAAATTGCAAATCCTTTTTTGGAACAGAGCTTGTATGAGCGATGCAAACAGCAACTTTTAAACCGAGTGTGCATGAGGAGAAATGGGCTTGTGCACGCTCTCGCATGCCATTAATAGGCGTTCCCTCTCGTTAGCAGGAACAGGATTGTGCATGTGCTTTTTTTTTAAGTGGAGAGGGCGGGAATTAAAAAAAAAATTTAATATCCTCCACTATACCTTTTAATATACTGTATGAAAATTGATAAATCTATTTTCAGAACTAGTTTATATATAATATTTATGATAGCAAAAGTGAAACATTTTCAAGCCTTATTTTGGGTTGGGGTTTTAATTATTTTAGTTTACAGATGGCCCAAACTTTTTCACCACAGAAAATTAAAATATTGTATAAAAAAAAAAAAAGTTAAATATCGCAAACTTATGTTACTCCCGTGGTTGGCAACCAATTCTAAAACTCCTGCAAAGTTGCCACAAACAAAGCCACTCAACCTCAGACCACGGTGGGGGATCTCTGATGTTTGTGGTCTCCGTTACACAAGCAAGAAGAAGACTGTTGTCTGGATGGATGCAGACAGTCACTGATTCCAGGAGAAAAACATATAACATATAAAGATGCTAGTTAGCAAAAGGCCTTTAGACAAACCTATGAAAAGTTGAGTGGAAGGAAAAAATGCGCTAGGAGGTCAAGTAAAATCTATTCAAGATATTGGTAGAGGTTGGTGGTAATCTGTTATATTTACTTGGTAAAATTCTACAAAAAAATAGGCTACTTTTAGTTTAGTAATGTTCTTGTGAGTATATCTACTTTTAGTTGAGTAAATACTCTCATTACCCCCACAAAGCATGAGTACCTTGAGCTGTTCAGACAGCAGGTAAAAATACATTAAACAGTAGATATTGGTGCTTGGGGTTCTTCATCCTTTCCTCACACATGTGCTTTACTTACTGCTTTTATAAGTTAAACAAATATTTATTTTTAAAATTCTTTCATCTGCACAAATTTGTAATTATCTAATTAATTATTCTTATTTTCTATTATTCTATGTTTTGCAAACCAGAATTTGCACTTAAAGGTATAGTTGAGGATCTTCAAGAATTTTTATTAAAGACCCGCCCTCTCCAAAATGCACATGCACAACCTTGTGCCCGCCCCTGAGAGGGAACGCTTATTACACGAGTGCGAGAGCGTGCACAAGCCCATTTCTCCTCGTGCATGCTCTGTTTAAAAGTTGCTTTTCTCATAGCTCATACAAGTTACTTTACAAAAGATTTACAACTTCTCCACACAGACTTATCATTGGTAAGTGAAAATACGTAAACATATCACCAGAATGACTGACAATTAGGAGGACCAATTATTGTGATGATCCACCCGGAAAAAGAACACCCTCCACTCTACCTTTAACTGTCTGGCTGATTGTAAACTTTGAACATCTTTTCGCCATCAGAGGGCGCTTGACCTGTAACATCCAAATTTAGCTCCTTGAAATTTGCCCCCTGCAGTGTGGTGATACTCTAGTCTTCCTCCCTGTATTGGAATCAGAAATAAGATCAGTTTGGACCAGCAGATGGGGAAATCATGGAGGTACTTGTAAAGATCATATTCAGTCCTTTAGATCAGGGGTGTTCAATATTCATGTAACAAAAGTAATTTGGCACTGGGATTATCAAAGTATTTCTGATTCCTGGGACAGGTGTTGTGAATGAAACGGTACCCAGCTTGAAAGAGCTCCTGTGTGTCGCTGAATGTGTGCATTGATGACTGAAAGACATCTTCTGCCTCCATTTATCTGTTTACTACTGTGTGTTGAATTCATGCTAATGTGTGTCTAAAGACATTTCATTAGTGGAAAATATTGCACTGGGGAATATATATTAAAAAAAAAAGTCTAATCAACCAAAACCTCCGTGGACCCCTGTTGAAGGCCTCCGCTATAGATTAAAACCTACATATGTCTGATCAGGTGTCATGTCTCCCTTGTACACTTTTGGTTAATTAGCTCTGGTGCTTAAAGGAATAGTACACCCAAAACATGATTAGCCTTCATTTTCTACTCACCCCCATGCTGAACAACACTCTGGAGTACTTTTTTGATATCTCAAATGCATCTGGAGATCTGGGAGGCTTCTTGCTGTCTGCTGACATTCAAATAATGGAGGTCTATGGCGCCCGAGGCAGAAAGGTCCATAAAAGTCCACAAAAAACGTGTCAATATTCCTCCATACTGCTCATCCAATGTATTCCAAGTGTCCTGAGTGGGTAGCATCCAGAATTTACTCGAAACGAAGTCATTTAGAATGTTTTTAGAGCATAAACAGTAGTGTATAGGATTTCCTAAAAGCGCGTTCACGACGCTACGGAAACCGCGGCAGACCAAACCAGCGCATTCAGCTCGGCAAAGAACTCATGCTCTTCCTCAACACTGAAGTCCTCAGACATTTTTCTTTCGTTGTTTCTTTCTTTGCACAGGTAAACAGCACATTTCTTCTTCTACGCTTGCATTATCGGCAGAGCAGACGCTGAATGCGCACTTTCATCTGGTTTGGTTTGCCGCGGTTTCCGGAGCGTCGTGAATGCGCAGGCGCGCGCTTTTAGGAAATCCTATACACTACTGTTTAGGCTCTAAAAACATTCTAAATGACTTTGTTTCGAGTAAATTCTGGATGCTACCCACTCAGGACACTTGGAATACATTGGACGAGCAGTATGGAGGAATATTGACACGTCTTTTGTGGACTTTTATGGACCTTTCTGCCTCGGGCACCATAGACCTCCATTATTTGAATGTCAGCAGACAGCAAGAAGCCTCCCAGATCTCCAGATGCATTTGAGATATCAAAAAAGTACTCCAGGGTGTTGTTCAGCATGGGGGTGAGTAGAAAATGAAGGCTAATCATGTTTTGGGTGTACTATTCCTTTAGGGAAGCCATGGCTGCTATAAAGCAGTATTGGGGGTCACATGACTCAAAAGTGAATGATCCAAACCTCTAAAACTAATATTTATGCCCGTTTTTTAAAAGAGCAGCCAGCAAAGAGCATCAATTCACAACAAGTGCTGTATGTTGACCTGAAAAGTAGTTTATTATACCTCAAATTAAGCTCTTATTTGAGTAAAATGTGCTCATTAAAGAGTGAGGCTGGGGTGCCAGAGGTGGATAATTTATGTCTGGAAGTAAAAGGACTGTACAGAGATTAGTTCCAACCCATTTGTATTTCTGACTCCAATATGCAAACTAATCACCTTGTTAAAGGAACAGGATGAAGGAAAAAAAGGCAGGTTTTTACTTTCTGGAACGCTATGATGCACCTCTGAGTCACATTAAGAACTGGAATGACCATATCGAACCCTGTTGGTGCTCCTGGAAACATACGTTTCAATACATCTTGTTTGTAGCCAAAAAAAAAAATCAGTAAAACTAAATTTCTGGATCCACCTGTGTAATTTCTTTCCATGTGTTTTTGTGAAAAGTTAAAATAAGCTATATCAGCTAACCTGGAGCGATTTATGGCACCACTAAAACCAAATGTTTTGCTGATTCCATTAACAAGTTACTTTCTGTTTTCTGCTGACCCGGTCACTTCCAGACCAGGTCAGCCTCCTTATGATTACTTAGACTGATCAGTTAATCGAAGATCGCTGATGGTTTCATTTTTCCCTCAAGAAGTAATTCTAAACTTATTTAGAAGAAGCCTAAAATAAACTTACCGTAAGTTTGATATCTCGGCATTTAAAGTAGCTAATCAGCCTTCCTGTTGTCTGCATAGAATCCTGCTCTTCCTTTCTTTGTCTGAATGAAGAGTAATGGGTCTTGACTTTGTGGTGTGTTCACTGATCAGAAACTACATTTGATTTTTCAGTTTCTGAATAAGTGATTGCTGATTACAGGCCGCTGAATCCAGACTAATCCAGCTGAGGTCAAACTAATGATTATCACCCAGGTGCCAAACCATTATGGAGTAAAGTAAGTTTTGTAAATGGAAATCAAAAGACAACAAAACGCTTTTAAATGGAAATAATAAAAAAAAAAAAAATCAAGAGCTCAAATCTCACAAAAGATAAATGTTTTTTTTACTGTTTTCTGAATTTATCAGATTGAATTTTACAAACTGCATTTTTTTCAACTGCGATTTTAATATAATTTAATATTTACTCATTTTTGTTGGTCTGAACGGACCTTAGCAACATCTATATTGGTCTCAGAGCACATCAAGAGAACGTCTGTAATGTTGAAGAGAATATAATCTAAAAAAATATTTTCAAAGAAATAATAAAATCTGAGAAGACAATTAAAAAAAACTTTTATTTAGTTTTTAAAAGTTTTTATTGATTGCATTTTTTTTCATTTTTCCATTTACAAAACTTATTCGTTGCCTGCACAAATATTGGAACAAAATTCCCTCCGTAAACCCTCAGTAAGTTTCTTCCAAACAAACTGACACAGGAGGCTATTTGCAGAACGTTTTTGGTATATTTTTTTAATAAATTAACGTTCATCCAAAATACAGTGCCAAAGGAAAATGATGCAGCCAAACATGCTAGTAAGGTTCGTCATGAGGCACCTGTGCTCATGTTTTTAAAGATAAAGGGGAAGACCCACCCCGACATCTAGCGCCAAAAAACCATGAGCCAGCCCTCTCCTCTCAGCCAATCAGCAGCAAGATTTCTCAGTACTCATCCAAAAAAAAAAAGTAATTGATAAGATGAAGATCTACACACAATCACACTACAGTAATGTTGGATATTAAATAAAAAAAAAGACAAATACAAAATAGACCTGGTTTACCCCCCCCCCATCCCTTCCACACTAAAACAGGTGTTTAAAACATATGAAAAATATAGTTTTATATATTTATATAATTCAGCAGCTTAGAAATAATAATAAAAAAAAATGCATGAGCCCAGAACCTGTTCGTACTGCGAGTGGGGTTGTGTTTGTTGCAGAGAGAGAAACAAAGTGTCACGTGACGACAGACAGACAGACTGAGGTGTGGACTGCTGGTTGTGTGGAAGACCGGGCATGATGCACAGAAGGGGGCGGAGCCTGGAGTGACAGAGGTGGGGCTTGGCCTCGGGGTGGCTGGACCTGCAGCCACCCTCTTTATCAAACTTCCTCCACCTGTTTCGGACCTTCAGAACCAGCCCCCCCCACCCACCCGGTGGCATCGGCGAGGCCTTTTGAAGAAATGCATGATCCCGTTTTTACAGGAATACTCCGCTGAAAATCAAAGGTCATCGGCCATGTTTTGGGAGGCTCAGACCAATGAAGAATTTACTAAAGAGATAATATTAAAATCATTCTTTACTTTACTAGTTTTAATCATTTCGATCCATTTAGAAGGACGTTTTAGGTCGACCAACTATTTGAAATATTTCTAAAATGAAACACCAATCAACAGGAGTTTGATTGGAGTCAACATGATCGGTCAGGAGGTGTTTCATGAGATTCGACCCCAAATAAAACATTCAATCCACCCATCAATGGAACTTTAACACTTTAAGACCACTGATCTATAAAAAACTGACTAAAACCATAGAACAAGTTGGGTATGAAATGATTAAAAGTGTGGAAAACAGGTGGATGAAATGGCAGCGGACGTGTTTTGCAATAATCTGCTCATGCTCCAGGTACGGCCATGTGGGTCATGATCCGTCATCCTTTTCATGAGTGATGGGGATCACGCCGGTTCACACATTTTAGTTTTTTGTTTAGTGCCGATGGATGTTGAGACATAACAGCTGTGATGCTACCGATAACTGGACTATAATCAACCCACGAGAAAATTTTTAGATCCTGTTGGACATCTTGACTTTTCTTCCCTCTGGGGATGAATAGTTTTAATCTTTCTGTGGTTCAGATTAACCTACAGAAAGAAAATGAGGTTGATATTGATGGTATAAAATGGGAGTTGGCAGGGACTGAATTGTTTCAGTCAGCTGATGAATCAAAGCTACGGAGAGAAGATTGATGCATAAACTCCCTTATTTTCAGATGGATGATAGACATATACTTTATAAGAGAACCTAAAGCAGTTTTCCTCCTTTATGTATTTCATATTTAACATAATTCATTAAAAAATGAACCATGAATCTTTTAAATGAGACGCCAAAATGCAGATTGGAATAAATGGAGTGAACCGACCCAGAGCCAAAAAAACCCAACAAAAACAAAACTTTAGCCCAACTGCTTCTCTTTTATCCCTTTACTTTATTAAAGCTGTATAAATATTTATCAAAACTCAAGTCTTTCAAAAAAGAAGCTCTTAAAAGCATTTCATTTTCTATCCAGATTTGTAATCTTTGATTTTCTGTGGAGTATTTCCTTCCAGAGGAGAGATTTTGGTTCAGTTTCCATCGTCGTTAACCTAAAGGTTTACCTGTTAAGTGCATCATCCTCCTCCTCGCCACCAAATTAGTTTGAGATTATCACATTGTAGAAACAGTATGACCAACAGAAAAATCTAACAGATGTCACCACTGACATAATAAAACAGAACCAAAAGGAAAACGGGTCGCGGGTTTTTTTTTTTCCTCCCCCGAGGGGCATCGATTCGCTCAAAGCTTGTTTCGACGGTACGAGCCTCGAGTCCGGCGATCCCTCTCCAGAACTCGCGTCAGACCCTTTAGACGCTACAGTAGCCACCCCCCCCTCCCATCATGTTCACGCTCCAGCAACGTTGTGGAGGGGGGGAGATAGGAGCTATACGTGGGGGAGGGTCATCAGCTCCCCGTCAATGTCGAACGCCTCGCCTCCGTCGGGGGAGAAGAGGTATGTTGGGGGTTTCCATGGAGATTCCTCCAAACAGGAGGGGTACAGTTTGCCGACGGCGCAGCGGAAGTCCTTCCCCAGGTCCCAGAGGACCCGCTCGGACACGGGCTGGCGCAGGAACCAGCGGTCCAGCTCCATGTCGTACTGGTAGATGGCGTACTTGGCGCGCTCGTTCATGCCGGTCTCTCTCATGAAGATGCAGAGCGAGTTGAGCAGCACCACGGCCCGCACGCATGGATCCGAGTAGCGCTTGGCCGGGATGTTCGCCGCCAAGCGCCACTCGTTTTTGTTGACGTCGTAGATCTCCACGGTGAGGGAGGAGCCGTCGATGGTGCTGGTCGGCATGCGGATGCCGGAGTTGCTGACCACGTGGAGGCCGCCGATGTAGAAGATGAGGTCTCCAAAGGCGGCGGCCGAGGCGAAGCAGCGGCTCGTCTTGCGCATGGCCATCTCCACCCAGGTGTCGGCCCGGGGGAAGTAGCAGTACATCAGGTCGTGGGTCATCACGTAGATGCAGTCGTGAGCCACCACCGAGGTGCTCCAGTTCCAGGCGAAGGGCAACGGGCTCATCATGGTCCACTCGTCCTTTTCGCAGTCATAGCGCTCCACCGTGCGCCTGCTCAGCTCTCCTCCCACGTTGTCGCCGCCGATTGCATAGATGTAGCCGTCGCAGTAGACCAGCGACGGCTTGATGCGGGCGCACAGCATGGGCGTTTTGGGCACCCAGGCGTTCTGCTGCGCGTCGAACCAGAAGAAGCTATCGACCGAGCGGAACACGGCCTGTAGCTTCCCGCTCCTGCCGTGGTTGGCGATCGAGTTTTTGAGCGGGATCTGGCCGCCGGCAATGTAGACGTCGTTGTCCGGGGTAACGAGGGTCCCCACCTTCTGCAGGTCTCCGGGGGGGTTGCACAGCTTGTACACCTTCTCGGCCTGTGGGCTGTAACACACTATGGTCGGCACAGACATCTGCATGACGTAGACATCGCCTTGGTTCTCCGACATGGCCTCCATGAAGATCAGCATCTCCTCTTTGGTCATGCCTAAACGAGGCTTGAAGAACTTGGGCATGGACTTGTAGAGGCCCTGCACCACTACGGACTTGTCGTTGGGCGGAAGACCCTGGAACCAGGCGCGCTGCGTCACCTCCGACAACGCGTCGATGCGGATCTGACTCAGCACAGAGGACAGGTGCTGGGAGCGCGCCTCCATGTTGTATTCCAGCCACAGCATGGCCGCCTCACGCACCGTCTCCTCCTTCTCCACGTTGAGGTTGTCGCTGCTCAGGATGTCTATGAGGAGCTCGTGGGAGAGCTGCAGGAAGGCCTCCTGTCGGTAAACCCTGGGGAACTTGTGCTCCACCATACGCTTGGCGCTCTGCTTTAACTCGCTGCAGCTGAAGAGGTCGCCGATGCTCATCATGCGGACGCAGTTTTCAGCGCTGATCTTCTTCACCAGGTAGTCTCTGCACTGCAGCAAGACGTCTTCAACCTAAACCAAAAAAAGACAATAATCTGTCAAACAGTCCACTAATTCTGCAAAACGTTAAGCACAGATCTTTATTTAAAAAAAAAAAAACTTTAACTAAACTTAGTGAAAGACAAGACAAAAAGAAAACTATGTATGACTTTTAGCAGTTTTTATAAATGAAAACCAAGAAGCGTTTGTTTTTATCCCACCTCCTTACAGCAGTAAATCTCCTGGGGGGCATTTTTCTGAACACCTTCGGTTTAATGAACCGAAAAAAAAAAAAAAAAAAACATTTTAAATATTGAAGCTATTGCTGATGAAGGTTCTCAGTCACCCAGGGCATAGTCATTCCAAAAAAAGTAAAATAAAATAATCCTCTGGACTTTATTTCCAAGTTTGAAGACGTTCTGCTTCTCATCCAGGAATCTTTTCAATTCAAAATATCAGAAATAGCGTTGATTTCGAGGTTTTATACAGTAGCCCTGGATGGGAAGCGAAACATATTCAAACTTGGAAACTAAGTCCTAACTAAGGATTGTTTTTTTGAAATGGAGTGAAATGAATATTGAAGCTATTCCACAGACAGGTCTGGACCTTCAGTGCATCATTCTGTTTATCTGTACCAGAACTCACTGTTAATTAGTAGGGTTGTCATGATACTAATCTTTCAAACTCAATATTGATCTTCAGTAAAATATTCAATAATTGATGCAATTTACAAATACCATGAGGATAGGATAAAAACAACAACAAACCTTATTAACAGTATAATTATATTTTCTTTAATCTGAAAAACTCTCTTTTTTCCAAGTCAACATGGAAATGCTTTTTCAACAGGATCACAGATGCAGCATTTGAGTATTGATGCTTTTCAGAGTATCGATACTTTTGACAACCATAATGACCAATAATCAATGTAAGAAACCAAGAACAGACCAGATGGGTCAGAGAGAAATTTCTGCAGAAGTTTAAAGCAAGGCTAGGTTTAAAAATGAATCAGTTTTCCTTTCCATGGAGTGCTGGTCCATCCTCAGTGAACCAAGGCGGTTAGCGTATCTCTGAATATTTCAGCAAAGCAAAATAAAAATTGTGATAAAACTGAGTGGATCTGGCGTTTCCTCCTACAGGCAACCGTTGCGCTGACCTGTAAGAAGCAGGCGGTCTCGTAGAGCGGCTCCACCGTGCTGTCGCTGATGGCCAGGTGGCCTGTGTAGGCGTAGGCGATGATGATCTTCAGAGTGGCGGGGTCCACGTTCCTCAGGTGGACGTGTGTCTGCTTGCTCTCGCTGAGGCCGCTCATGAACATCGCCCTGGAGAGGACACGATGAGGACAGAAACAGCAGTCAGCGGTGAAAAGCAGAGCGAACGGGACAGGTTTGGATCCTAATATTTAAACATCTGACTGTAGAAAACATGCTGGTGTTTGGGGATCTGTTTGTCTTCAGCAAAGAATGCTTGTCCCCTGCTGAAAAATAAATGCTTTGGTACTAAAAGTATTCAATAGATGCCTGCAGCCCTCTCTTAGTTAATTTCTATTTGTCTGCGTTAAATGGATGAAGCAACAACAAGCCTGCCGTGTTTGCCGTTTTACATTCAAGATGTTCTTGTAAAAAAACCACAGAGCCTCTTAACTAGCGCTGGAATCTGGCCAAACTGGAGCCGCCGTACCTGGAAGTGGACCCTGCAGGAGCCTGAACACCACCGCGGCGCTCCTGTTACTTTACACCAACATCCCTGCTGTGAGTTACATAACCAAGCAACTACTGGGCCTCAACAGGAACAGCAGCTCTCTGAACTACTTGGATACTTTCTAAAGTTTGGACATTTACTGGACTTTTTTTGCATTTGATTGAGAAACTTCACCTACTTCCAAAAAGTTCACAGTGAGACAGAAATAATCCATCATCAAAAAGATTATTAAGCAACGGTTCAACAAAAGGGGGGGTTCACTCTCAACTCTGACAAAGTTTAACATTAACATCAATGCTGAGGCCTGAAAACAGATAAAGGCTGAATATTTTTCATTTTAAGGGAGTTTCTGATTGATTGTTCTAAACAGGTACATTTGGAGTAATTGATTGTTGAAATAATCACAGCAATAATTACTTAGCAGACTTTTAATGCAGACTCTTAAATCTCTGGGAAGTGTTGGTGCTGTGCGCTTGTGCTCTGAGAAGGTTGCAAGTACTCGGTTGAATCCCCCCAGCCTCCGTTCTGGGGGGACCCTTAACCCCACACTGCTCTCCGGGCGCCACACGATTACCCCATTTACCCTACCCTCTGAAAAGTGATGTGCACCGAGTTTGGACTGATGCAGTCCGAACTTGGCTAGCGTGGTTCCTCGCCTCCTAGTGACGATCTAAGGTACTACTGCTCTCTAGAAGGAATCAAGCAAATCAACATGGCGGCACCCGTAACATTCAGGAAGTTTGGTCATAAATGTGATATTTCATAGCTTGCAGAGAGTCAGGCAAAGTTGGCAGCATTTGGCGAATTTTCTTAACAGACTCGGCTTTTGGGAAGTGGATACGACAAACTATAGTCTAATCAGGGCTTACAGACGCAGGAAACAACGACAGACGTTGAGGTTCATCACACTGCTAAGTAGAATCATCACTGAAAATCATGTGAAACGGTAGGGAAGCTAGTATTTTTAGTAATGTCTGAAATTTCATGATTACGGAGGCTGACTGTAAGGAGATGAAGTAGTCTGCTCATGCGCTCTTTGTTATCTGAGAACTGAGCCAGAACTGAACCGCGCCAAGACCAACTAATGAACTAGTACCATGGTAGCGCGGGTCGGTTATGTCTGGTTCAGTTTTGCGTGAACCATTTAAACTCAACAGTTATCTCGGTTACCGTGCTCGGACCGATCTCGGCATGGTTTCTAACGGGTAGTGTACCGTAATTTTCGGACTAGCCGTGACTTTTTCCCCATTTTTAGACCCTGCGGCTTATATAACAATGCGGCTTATCTATGGACCTTTACAGCTAACGGCCACTAGGGTAATACCAAAACTGTCCAAAAGACAAATACATTCTGCATCCAAAATGAAAGACATCCTTCCTAATATGCTCCTTCCAGGACTGTGACTTGTTTAGTTCATAAGGGAAAAAAAACCTTGTCAACCACCCTTTGCTACCCAATTATTCATTTTTTATATTTAAAAAAAGGCAATTAATCACGTTGCAAAATGATATTTAGTCGTAATGATCATAGCCATAACTCAAACAATTTGTGGTGTCAATCAAATTGTTTATACTATTTCCTCATGAAAAGGGATTTTCCTTCCCATATCTGGAGATCAATTCATACCTGAGAGGTGAGCAGCACCTTTGAAATCTACTCTAGGAAATCAGCGCATTCTAATTGGTCAGCAATGTCTCCATGGAAACAACTGACCCTTGTTTACCAATGCTTTAGTTTAGGGCTCCACAAGTTGATTATTTTAGTAATCTAATAATACAGTGAGGTATTTTTGGTAAATGAATTTCTAAATAAAAAAGTATTAGAGTAAGTATTGAAATGAACTGCAAATTAAGGCCAGGCGATTGGACGAATCAATCCACCATCAACCAGACTCAGTTCTTCAAGGATAATTTAAAAGGTGATTTTTTTTTTTTTTGGTTTCTTATTTGGACCTAGGGGTGAAGATGCAGCCCATAACAAAATCCAACACATAAACTGTTTCCACCAGCAGCTTTCCCCCCCAGTGCCACTGTTCAGGCGCAGACCGACCGAAAAACACTACCCCTGTAGACACACGGGAAGTGTGTCTGCAGGCCGCTCCATCTGTTACGGGATTCTTTTTAACACAACAAATACAAAATTGAACAAAACAAAAAAAAGACAAAATTATCTCCTACAGTGAAGCTGTGTCCTTCCATAAAAAAAAAATCTCCGACCCTAGTTTTCAGTCCGCTCGATTTTGCGCATCCTAGACCAACAGGGGGTTGTAACAAGATAAACAAATGAATAATGGTCAAAAAAATATAATCTCATAAATAATCAGAACTGGAAAGTAGTGTTGCACCGATACCGATCCAGCACTAAAATGGTGGTAGTTGGCGAGTACCAACAAACAGGGCACCGATACTATTTTGAGAGCCAAAAGTTTATTCAACTATTGTCACCCATTCCAGGTAGGCAATAAAAGGTTCTACTGGATTCACTTTGTATTAGTCTTTTTCCTGCTTCACAAAGGTAGGCAGCAGCTTGACAAAGCCATGATGGCAATTATTTTACATCCAAGTAGTATGCAGTTCTTCATATATACACACACATCAATTTCAAACTGATGGTATCAGTATCGGTATTAGCCGATACTGCACAGCCAGGTATTGGGTATCAGGGCCACACTACTGGAAAGGAAACTATTCCCACTGGACAGAATTCATAGATTTTTGACAAGAAAACAAGAATGTTTCCTTACAGAGAAAAACACGACCTGTTTGTCACTGCAGGTGTGAATAAGAGATTGTGGAGATGAGTTTAAGTCTCACATAGAAAATATTTCCACCAAACTGTATTTTTTCTTCTGGATTTAGTTCTTTATTCCAGATGTTGGTCTGATGAGGGAACCTCAGGGCTGACCTGGATCTCAGGACTGGATGTGAAGCATTTGGTTCTCCACGTCCCACAAAGAGAAACCAAAATATAAACAAACTCTGACGTGGATATTAATAATCTAAAAAAGGTTATGTAATGATTCAGATGAAAAGCAGATGAATCAGGCTATTAGTCCCCGTCGGTGTGATTCTTCCGTTTTCAAACAAACACTGAGCACCTGGATTTCCAGGCACGATGTAAGCTTTAGAGGGATCTGTGACTCAGCAGGCCCACCCACACTTCCTGTGTCATCCACTGACTCGCTCTGAGTTACGGCCCGTAAACATCCCTCACTAGACAGCTGTCTAGCATTTCACTGTAACAGCGTCTCTCTCCAGGTGGACGTTTCTCAGCGTCTCCACGTTTAGCAGCGGGTGCGATTTCTCTTTTGATGATTTCACAAGTTGTCCGTTTAGCCAAAGGAATCCTCCAACAATTTAGGCGTGGGTGGAGAGGGCAGACTGTGAGACTCTGGATGGACCTTTTATTAAACAAACCAGAATTTAAAGCAAAAAAATAAAAACTGTGGTGGCTGGCCAATAGAGGGCGCTAGGGCGCCATCCCACCCACTTAATGACCCTGATAAAAAAAAATAATAATAATTTTTTTTAGCATATAATTTTAAATTAAAATTTAAAATATTTAGAAAGATATTAATGTACAAGATAAATATTTAACCTCCATTTCATTTCTGGGAAATTCTGGCCTATTTTGCATACTCAAATGGAAAAGCAAATAACGGAGGAACTGTAAGCCCAAATTACATGTGTAATATATTATTTGAAAGCTAACACCTTCTAGTTTCTGAATATATACATGGAAATTGGGTGAGTAAAACACCCAAGCTGCATTAGTCAAACATGTCTCAAAGTTTTTTTTATTCTCTAAAATAATAAGTCTTCTTTTAAGAGCAGTAATGAAGACATGCTTGCTTGTTGTGGCTGCTTCGTCATGCTACATGTCAACATGCTGCTATAATTGTGCTTTGGTGCTCGCTATGTCCATAAAACGAACTAGGTGGTTGAATTGTGGAGAATCTAAGCTTTCTTATATATTAAAAAATATAAAGCTGAATAATAGCTTCTGGTACATTATTTTTTAGGTTGTGACACCATATTGGACCATGCAAAACACAGATTTGCCTTCACAAATCCTCAGAAGAACAATTTTATGTACAGAAATAAACCTGTTCATGAATTTATGTTTAAAAAGTGTTTTTATAATGTTTTTTTGTTGTTGGCATTCATATAAATATACTAGTGTGATATCTTAGTATATGTTTAAGAAAACGTATACTAAGCTGGTGGAGAAAACTCCACCAGCTGCCACTGATGAAAACTTAGTTCACCATGGGAGCCGGAATAAAATCTGCATTTTTAACGATTATTTTTGTAAAAAACTCCTTTTTTCCACACTTCCCCAGCCCGAACCAGAACGGTGTAAAAATTCTCTCGGAACTCCTGAACTTCAGCCGTTTGCTCCAGTTCATTCAAAGGATGAAGAACAGATAACTCTTTGGCTATAACTGCAATTTTCTGGCCTTGATGTGGCTGGAAACATTCATTTATTCTGGCATGATGCAAAGCAGATGTTGGAGAATCATTTATTTAGTTAATGAAGAGAATCGACTCATCTGGAAAAGCATTTCACCGGTTGAAGCTTCCAAACCTGACAATGATTTCCCTTTGAGGGTGAGGACCTTCCCTTTCTTTAGCGGGAGGAAGAACATGAACCAGCTTCTTGGTTCTGAACCAATGATTTCATCTCTTTTGGTTACATCTAGATGAGGCCGAATTAAAATGAAATTAAAACAAGAAGTGCGCTTTTTAAACAAAACAGAAGAGTTTTGGGTCGGTTGGCCACAGCGGGGGCTAAACCTGCCAGGCTGTATTACGCAACCCTGCAGAATTACCCCTATAACTCCCCTCCCCTTCTTTTTTCTCTTTCCCCCCTCTCCATCTCCTAACAAGAGCTACGTGACCAGACTTTCCCTCCACAGAGGAGCCGCCTCTGCAGCCCAGAGCAGCGAGGCTTGAGGATGTAGAGGAAGCAGAAGCAGGAAGGAGTTAAGCGGAAACGCTGCAACACCTCAACACCCCGAGGGGGGTGGGGGGGATACTTTGCGTGTTCACGGCAGACAAAACAGCGAGTGCGGAGGAAGCTGCAGAGCTAAGAGATGATGCAGCAGAATCTGAGCCATCACGTACGGCCGGGCCTTTCCCTTAGTAAACGCTGCTGCTCTGTCACGCATTTCATTATGCAACGCCGAGTGCATGAAGGAGGCCTCCCCAGGGATGAGAGGAAAAAAAATCTGGTAGCAATTACTTCATCGGGTTCCAGTGCAACTTTTTTATCTACCAGGAAGAGAATAATTGGTGCAGAAAAGAGCTTTAGTTCTAGTTCTGCAAACAGGATGAGGTGTCTAAAAGAAAAAAAGCATCCCACTCACCTGAAATAGGAGCTACACGCAGCCAGGACCATCTTGTGACACGGGAACTCCGTGTCCTCCACCAGCAGCACCACATCCGTCAGTAACTTCTGTTCATAAAAGAACTTGAGCTGCTCCAGCAGGGAGACAGCGTAGTCCGTGTTGACCGGCCTGCGCTCATTGAGACCCGACATGGTTGCATCCCATGAATCGCGCCCCAGCTTTGAAAACTCACACGGCCGGCAGAACCGGACTCCAACCAACCAGGAGAAAAATAAAATAAAATAAAAAAGGGGATGGGGGAGATCTTTGGAACAGCAGATGTAGGAGAGGTCCTCCTCCACCTCCACGTGGAGGAGTTGAAAACGCTGAAGAGACTCTAGGAAGGCGAGGAAAGCTCTGTGCGCCGCCAGGGGTCCGCAGGAAGAGGGGGATCCAGGGTGAGGATGGGGTCTCCCCTCGAAGGTTTATCTGTCATCTGAAGTCATGGGGTGAGGCACCGAGGATTGGAGGTAGACGGGGCGAGTTCTGCCACGGCGCGGTCACATCAAGTTTCTCTGAGAAACACACAGACAGACAGGTTAAAATCTTGACGTCTGCGTCCAAACGGCGCCGTCTAAAACATCAGTTCCATTCACCTTCACTTTAATAAAATCAGGAAACAACGCTGCTTCAATCCTTTCATTAATCAGGGTCATGTTTAAACAATAATCAGCTAATTTAAAGGAGGATCAGAACTACAAGGTTTAAAAACAAGATGAAAAAGGTAAAGAAAGAAAACTAAACAGATACACCGCTGGCTTCTTCACTAAACTGCTCCTAAAACTACCGATGGGATCCTTCAGCTTCTGCACTTCCTCCTCCAAAGAGTCCGACACCTAACAGAGCAACAGTCTTATGGAAGATAATTAAGGTCTTATATAATTATTTCAGCTTTATAACTGAAGGGCAAACTCTTTTTTTCCAAAGCTCTCCAAAAAAAAAACCCTCTAGATTTCCAGGTTAGAACACGCAATGTTGGAATCCGTCTGTTGATGACTTTGATCCAAAATCTTACTTATTTAATGTTATTCAAAACTGCAAAACAATAAAGAAGCTATTTCCTGGACCAGGTAATTGTTGTGATAATGAGTAAAAGACTTATTAGCCATTGATAAAAGAAAAAAATCTGATCTAAGACAAAATCTCATCAGAAAGGTGGGGAAAATATAGAATAAAGTCTCCGCTGAAAAGCAAACCTGTCCTGATTTTTACACATCAGCATCCCTCAAAGGCAGAACAAATATTAGACCGTCTCTGGCTTCAAAACGGTAAAATAAAGCTGGATTTACAGAGGATTCACATAAAAAGATGAAGTCTTTTAAACGCACATTAAACTGCTTTCATCCGTAGAGCTATTCTTGTTGTTATATGTTAATTAGTTGGGAATAGTGATTTTTTTTAAACACTTTCAAAAAATTATAAAAAATTAAAAATCACATCTAGGTTATATTATTTTTTATTTTAGATTTAAAAAAGAAAAAAAACTGACCAAATATAGACTTAATTCTTTAAACTGTTAGAGACGCTTTAAAAACACAATGTGGGCTGTTTCTATTACTAAAAGACCAAAAGATTGATTTTACTGATATCTCAATCTGGTGATTGAAATTTACATGTTCAGGTATGAAAAGTAACCAAAAGTACCCCCCCCCCCCCCAATGATTTACGGTCCATAAACACAGAAACCGACAGCTACTATTTAGGATAGCTTTTCTTTTACTTTGACACATAAATCGGATGAGTCTCTATTAGCATCAACTTTAACCAAATACCTCTAAGAAGAAACCTAAAACACATAATTGGTACCAGATTATGTGTTAATTAAAGTCGCACCGATGCAGATACTGGTATCGGGTGGGGTCCCAGTCCAGCACTAAAATGGTGGTATTGGCGAGTACCAACAAACAGGGCACTGATACCATTTTGAGAACCAAAAGTTTATTCACTATTGTCACCCATTCCAGGTAGGCAATAAAAAGTTCTACTGGATTCACTCTGTATTAGTCTTTTTCCTGCTTTACAAAGGTAGGCAGCAGCTTGACAAAACCATGATGGCAATTATTTTACATCCAAGTAGTCTGCAGTTCTTCAAATACATACACACACATCAATTTCAAACTGATCGGCCAATACTGCACAGCCAGGTATTGGGGCCAAAAAAATGACATCGGCGCAACACTAATGTTAATGGTGTTTAAAATGAGAAAATGGGAGCAGAAAGGGAATAAAACTGCCAAAAAGCACATTTTAAAATTTTGGACGCTATAATTTGTAGATTTAATGGTTTCTATAAATTTTGGTTCAGATTCTCCAGTTGTGAAAGAAACGCTGTTGTCCTTTTTTTGTTGTTGTTGTATTTTACAGTTTTCTTAAGAGAACAATATGTAACCTAAATTGAATATGAAAGGCAGGATGTAGGATCAAATCAGTTGTTACTTCTCTACCTCCATTACAAACAAATCTTTATGTGAATAAGCCTCATGCTGGATGAATGTGAACCATTCATCCATTATTGTTTTCATCCTCAGACCCATTTTATGTGGCTATATAATGGTTTCACTGATTAAAAACAGTTTTGTTAGTACTTTGACTTAGAAGTGAACAGTTCATGACAGTAACTAATGTTGATGCTAGTTTTAGATTAAATAAAGGGTCAATATTATGCTATGCAATGATTACTAAACAAAATCAAGGGTTCAAACATCAATCTGTTTATAAAAACTTCGATTAAAGTACATTAAGTCTGTGGAAAATAACCCGATCCAGATGTAACCTGTTAGGGAATTAATTTTTGTAAGAGGAAGCTAAGATACTTCATTTTTAAATTTTTATTTATTCTTTTTTTTTTTTACAATTGTTTTAATTTCCGAATCGTGAACCAACTTCAGGCTCGTTTATACTCAGTAAAACCACAATAAAACGTTTAGAGTTACCATTTTCATCTTCTAACTCTGCCCAAAAGCCGATTATATGGTTAATATTGAGCTAAAAGCTGACTTTTTAACAAACCTGTACCGTTAAGATGTTTTGTTAGCCCGAAGCTAAGTAGCTGCGTTAGCGCGCTATCACTGAACAAATCTCCAAAACAAACTGTTTAAATGACATGAATCGGGACAAAATAACAAATAAAACAGTGCAGACATAAACAATAAAACCTTTAATAGGAGATGGTGTGATATTTTGAGTGAAAAAAGAAGCTAAACCATCAAAAATGAACCAGCGGTTCTAGCCTGATTCACAGCATGTTAGCATTAGCATATTAGCTTTAGCGCCTCAAATTTGAACAGTTTCGGGGCAGTTTATCGGATATCCGTGGGAGCACACCGTCCATTTGATAGTAAAATGTCGAAAACAACTCAAAGCAGTGACGTTATCACAAAAAGATTTTGGTGTACAAACAAAAAAAGGCTAAGAAGGAGCAGTCAACATCAGCTAAGCTAATAAGGAACAGAGCTACACATCGCTTCTTCCGTAAAAACTCAAACAAGGCAAACATCATAAATTCCTTACTGTAATCGTCGGCTAGCTCCACAGACCAAACCGTCGCGGTGTTGTTTTACCACCAATACGAAGAATAAAATAGGTTCTTAGGGGAAAAACTCAGACGTAAAGACTGTTATGAGTCGGCGCCGAGCAGCGGACGAACCTCTTAGCCCATCAAAGGCGCCTCCAAAGAGCAGAGGCCAACCGAGGATACTGCACTCAGATCCAGTGAGTGACCTGTCCTGCCCAAAGGGAGAAACAGTGCCCTCTGCTGGCGAAACGATGACACCCACGGTGAGCTGAGGATATGGCTCCATCTACTGGATAGGCTAGGACACAGCAGCGGTGGAAGAACCCTAAAAATATGGCTTTACATACGCTTCCAGCAATTTATTTTTGGTTATACGTTTTGATTTGAGATTTGTACGGATGAGGATTAGGGCCACTAAAAAAAGAAAAGAAAAAAAGTTAACTGATTTTTAAATATTATTTCAGTTTAATATGGGGAAAAAAGTCAGGATTCTGACTGAATACTGAGAGCTAACAAAAATGATAGCATCAAGACTTAGCCATGTCTAGAGACTAAACTCTTGCTTTAATCACCTTCTGCTCTCACATTAATGGCATAGCATCACCGGGGACCCCTCTGGCACGTAAAAAGGCGCCTAATTCCATCATTGTCCACCAATGTGTTACTGGCCCTCCCAACCAACTCACATCTTTGTTAGTGAAGATGAGTGATCCCACATCTCTTCCTTCAGGGTGCCATTTAGGATTAAAGATCTTAAAGGGCACTTAAGATCCAAAATTCTGAGATTAAAGTCAGCATTCTAGGGGGAAAAAAGTCAGAATTCTGAGATTAAAGTCAGAATTCTGGGGGGAAAAGTCCCATATTCCCATATTAAATTTAAATAGTATTTAAAAATCAGTTAACCTTTAACCCTAATCCTGTTCTGTAGATTTGATTTATGCACTTTTAACTCTTTTTTTGCAATTAATCTAATTCTACAACAACCATCTTGATTTTTTTGTTATTTTAAAACAACAGTCAGTGCCACAGTTAGTTCACTGCCATCATACATATGGGATTTTAAGGATGATTACTTATTAATTGAAATATTAACAAAAAATAAAATAAAATAAAACATCTCTTTGCTTTAAAATTTTATTTAACTAGATCTTAAATACATGCTTAAAAAAGTCATCAAACACTTTAAAAGAGGATATGAACAATAATAAAAAAGTAAATTGACCCAATAGCCAATAAGGATGAATCTTTTTACTAAAAATATGATTATATAGAAAGCTATCAAAAATATTTGCCATTAAAAGGACACAGATCTGTAGTTTCAAAAGGTTTATTAAACATTAGCCTAATTCTCAGTAGGTCTACTCCTCCATGATATTGTAAATTGCCCATTAAAGTACAATCAAAGCAATCATCTTTACTAAATTAATTCTAAAATCATTTTTAAAGATGTCCGTGTTTTCAAAATCACAAATATATACCATCTAACTTTTATTTTTTTTTATTATTACTAAAAAGAAAATAAAATAGAATTTCGAATGACCCCTGAAGGCAGCACCCCTGAGGAGCCAGCTGTACCCTATATGACTGATTGGCTTCAACTGTCCGGGTTTTTGTTTAGTAGAAATGTCGTTTGGAGAGCCACACGTTTCTACTTCGTTTTGGTCAGTAAATAATTGTTGAACTAACTTATTTATTTTTCTGAAACTTGGGGATGTTTATTTATTTTCATTCCTCTAAGTGTTTTATTTCCCCATGAGAGTCGAAGCGAGAACGTCATTAAAAAGAATGGAAGGTAAATATTTGTTTCCACCTTAAACTCCAGTTGGTAATATTACAGAAATATGATGTAAAGCTCATATTCTTTCTTTAGATCCAAGCAAACAGACTTCCTCATTTGGCAGTGGAGCTCAACGAGGTCCCCATCCCAGGCCTTTTTTCTATGTTCAGCCACCTTCTCAGCCTTATTATCTCTACCAGCCCTGGCACTTTACAAACCCATACAACCACTTTGGGCTGCCTGCAGGTATTGAATCAGTTACATGTATATTGTGCATTCAGTGGGTTTATGATGCAGAAAAGTTATACTCTCTTTATAGGTTTTAACTTTGGCCGGCCTAGCTTGCCTCCTTATCCCTATGTGCCGTACCCTGGCTTTGTTTTACCACATGCTCCCATACATCCCATGGATTACAGGCGGATGTTTGAACCCAGATACCAGGCCTGGGGCGATCTGCCTCGCCAACCGTACAATCCACAGCCTCAGGGGCGGCGTGAGACTGCCTGTTCTGGGGCTCAGACCGACCCCAGTGATGCGATTAGTAAGCTCATAGAGTGCCTGGATAAAATCCGAGCCACAGAGCTTCAGAGCGGCGACAGAGAGCTAGACTCTGGAGTTGGCTCCCAATCCTTTGGCATCTTTTCTGCTGTAGAGGAAAAGAAAACTAGAGAGCAGGATCAGGCTCCTCTCCCCCATCGCAGCTGTTTAGATTCCCCAGGCATGACCTCAAGTGACTCCAGGGCAGCGGTTTACGACAGCGAGTCCAGCAGAGTTATTTTGGACCCTTTGAGCCCTGAGGGAGGCTGGATGGGAAGACTGGAGGAGGAGCTGCCTCTGGACAGTTCTTCTGTCCATGAGGAATGCCCCCATCAGCCGGTACCAGGCGAACACTTTCTCTCTCATGAGACTGAAGAAGTCTCGGATATTCAGTCAAATGTCTTGGTGACTGATTCAAGTGCTCAAACACGTGATGCGGAGAAGGACCAGAAAACCGTACCCTCAATTCCCTCCAATCAGCTTGGGCTGTCAGAAGCTCATAATGGTGATGGACCTTCTTCTGTCTTAATGGCAGAAGGTGATATGACGACCTGCTCTCCAACCAAAACTGATGAAAGTTACCAGATCCCCACACTCCCCGTTGATGATGTTTTGAGAACTGCAGAACCTTACTACTGCAATTACCTCCCCATGCAGACTACTCATGAGCGCATGAGCGTCCTCAGTCCGTCTTTAGATGAACTCTCTTCCAGGGATGAAATGTTTTCTACAGATCTAGATGACGCGGATCTCTACCCAAAGCATGTCTACCCTGGTCGAAGACTTTCAGCGGTTGTTGGTGGGTCTCCAACTGCATACGATGAAGAGGATTCATGGTTGCCAAAGAGGGTTGTCTGTGCTTGTTGTGGGAAGAAGCTGGAACAAGGGACAAGCAGGAGAAAGGTCCATAGCTCCAAGGTGTATCACGATGAAGCTGGAGACTCTGAAGAGGAGGGCAAATATGGAAGAGGGTGTGACGAGCCAATCAGAGTGGTGGTTAGGAAGCACTCTGGACCCAGGAAGGCTCAACCTGTCCACAGACACGCAGCTAAACCTCGCTACATTAAAGGTCAGTACAAAGAGCTGTCTGAGCCAATGAAGCAGGAGGACAGTCATAAAGAGTGTCACCAGGCACCTGCTCAAGCAGAAACGGAAGAGTTGGAGCTGCAGTGTCGAACATGTCTGGGTAAGTTAGTCTAGATATATATTTTTTTTAAACTTGAAAAACTGCTACGATCAGATAAATCTGTTCTCAGATGGGCAGTGCAGAGCAGACCTGACGACAGGCCAGGGCCGATGGACGGACGGAGACGTGGTTCCCCGCAGAAGACATACCGTCCCTTTGCAGCGAGGTAACTTATTTAATTTTAACTACTGGTAGCTCAAAACAAAGATATACATCCCAGTTTAATCCTGCTTTAGACTCAGTCTTTCAGTCCTTTTGTTGTTTTAAAAAAAAAACGTTTTCTTGCATGACATGAAAAATCAAAATCTAGATAAGTAATCTTTTCTTAAAATAAGTGCTTTTGTTCTTTTGACAATTGAACAACACAATTTACATTTAAAATAAGAAGACAATCTCATAATCTCTTTCAAGTGCATGTTATCTAACTACCTTATTTTGAGAGTAAAAATACTCATTCCATTGGCAAACTGGTGAGGTCATGAGTTGCCATACACTAGAAAAATGAATGAGGTCATTTACCTACTCAAAATAAGGATAAAAACACTTAATCTAACAAATTTAGTATTACTATTTTTTTAATTTTTTTTATTAAGTGTATGTACCCTTAATTTGAATAGGTAAATGAGATAGTTTGCCAATTGAATGAGTATTTTTACTCTTAAAATAAGAATTTTCTTTACCTCAATCAAAGCAGAAATACTTTAATACACTGCAAAAATGATCTAGAAATAAGTAAAAATTTCTTAAATTAAGTGTATTTGCCCTTGATTTGAATAGGTAAATTTGATAATTTGCCAATGGAATGAGTATTTTTTACCCTTAAAATAAGATAATTAGATAATATGCACTTGAAATAAGACAATGCAATTGTTTTCTTATTTTAAACCTAAATTGTCTTGTTCCATTCGCAAAATGTCTCTTTAATCTCCTCAATTTAAGAACAAATGCACTTATTTTAAGAAAAACTGACTTATCTAGATTTTGATTTTTTTCCAGTGTAATCCCAGAGGATTTTCCTAGAACAAATACACATATTTTAAGAAAAAATTACTTATCTAGATATGATTTTCCAGTGTTTCTCAGTTATATGAAGTTGCTAATTCTACTGAAACTTTAGTAAATATCAGTAGCTCTTTAATCTCTTCCTGTTGACCGACTGCGCAGAAATGAGCCCTCAGTGGAGACCGATGTACCACAGGCCTAGAGATGATCAGGAAGATGACGAGGTGCATGCTTTAAGTTGGGAAAGAGGTATTTTGTTTTTGTTTTGAAGCTTTTCTGATCATTTTATGAATTTGAAACCTTTATTTTTCTCTCCTCAGGCTCCACAGTGCGAGGAGAACTGAGATGACGTTTTCCTTGACTGAGTTTTGAACAAAATGCGTTGTACTGTAGGTTCCTATCATTCCAGATGCATAATAGTAACACTTATTTGCATGACGTTTACCAATTTTATCTTTCCTGCCTTTTCAGGTCCCCCTTAAAGGTGTACGGGATGAGGGATAACTAGATTGGAGCACTAGGTGAATTGCACTCCACAAGCAGCATAGTTCTATAAAAGGAAAAAAAAAATCTGCAGTGACACTGCCTTTCACTTCTTGATCTCACAAATGGGCTTGAAGGTTATTGTAGATTCCACTGTTTGGGGTCAGTCCAATAAAATATAATATTAGATCTTTGTTGATGTTTTTCTTGTTCCAAGTCAATTATCACCCATTTTGAAACTTTAAATCACATAACAAGTATTCTTATTTATGAGATGGATTATGTTAGCTTGGCTATTTAGCAATTTTTAAGTTTAAGAGTTAAAACTTTAACTGAGCTGAACTGTGAATATAGGGAATTGATATAAATGCAAAGTTTTTTTTTCTGGTTCTACAATAATACACTGCAAACAACTTAAAATGCAAGTAATTTTTTTTAAAATAAGTGCCTTTTTTCTTGAATTGATGTAAGTGAAATTTACATTTAAATATAATTCAATTTACAATACAATTCAATAAAGAAATAAATTGCATTGTCTTATTTCAAGTGCATAATATCTAATTATCTTATTTTAAGAGTAAAAATACTCATTTCATTGTCAAATAACCTTATTTACCTGCTCAAATTAAGGGTTAATGCACTTCATTTAAGACATTTTTACTCATTTTTAGATTGTTTTTGCAGTGTATTCAGGATCTATGGTGGAAAACTAAAGCGGTTCTGCCTTCCTCTTGTGTTCCTTATGGTCAAATTCAGTTTTCAAAATGTAATCTTTTACATCATTTGTATGGAGCATAGCAGGATTGTGGTAGACTCTTCCCTCACAGAAAAAATGGTGTCTAGTCAGTGTTTGTGTCTAGGTTCGTGCAAGAGTTTTCTTTAGGGAATAAACAGCCTTTGACTTACAAATTGGTATCGGTTAACTCATGACACAAATGATTGGTTGACTATACAGATGTTTTGAAGAAATCAATGAACCGGGGGGGGGGGGGGGGGGGGGGGGGGGGGTACTGTTACAAACAGCAGTGATGACCAAAGAAATTTTTTTTTGCCCTCTTTAACCAGTTTCCCTCCCACTGCTGTGAACCTGTAAGGTTTCATGCAGATACCGGTGATCTATCTAAATAGTACAAATCGTTAGGGACACTTCAGCCAAACTGTCAGGGGTTGCCATACACTGGAAATATCTCAAATTTAGTGCACTTACCCTTGATCTGATTAGATTAGATTCAACTTTATTGTCATTACACATGTACAGGTACAAGGCAACAAAATGCAGTTTAGGTCTAACCAGAAGTGCAATAGCAGCAAGTGCAGGATAAATAATGGTTCTATAAATACAGGACATGGGTTCTATTGAATGAGTATAGAGATGAATACCATTATAAACAAAATCTTACTAATAGATGAATATAATATATAGATCACTAGTGTTATGAACTAAATTTACAGCTGGATATGTACCGAATATAATATACAGCTGGATATTACTATTAAAAAAGGGTTTTTACAGTTATGTATAATAGCATATATACAGATGGGTTTTACTATAAAATGAATAAAGTTTGGACAGAAGCTATCTAAATTAAAGTGCAGTGGAAGTTAATTGCATATTACAGTTAAATTATTGCAAATGTATATGTAAACAATTGGTACTGTGAATAAACAGTCGGCAGTGCAAATCAATATTCAGTGGAGGTGAGTAGTGCAAGATGCATGTAAATTGTTTCAATAGTAACAGGAGTGCAGGTGAACATTAGAGTGTTGTAAAAAAAAAAAAAAGCAAAATGGAGCAGGTAAATACGATGATTTGCCAATAGAATGAGTATTTTTACCCTTAAAATAAAATATTTCGATAAAATGCACTTGAGAAACGACGTCGCAATTGTTTTTAAATGTAAATTGTCTTGTACCATTGACAAAATGTATCTTTTACCTTATCAATTCAAGAACAAATGCACTTATTTTAAGAAATGACTTATCTAGATTTTGATTTTTTTCCCAGTGTGATTGGTATCCAAATAGTGCTGATGGTAGGGATACGAGAAAGCAGGATGCTTCCCATTGGTAGTTCCTTTACAGATGTTTCTATCCTCCACACAGAATCTAAACCACAGGTGTCAAACTCCAATCCTTTGAAGGGTGGTATCCTGCACCTTTTGGATGTTTTTTGCTTAAAACACCTTAAACAATCAGGTTATCAGTTGATCTTTGCAGAACTTAAACAAAATGATTCAGGTGTTCAGGATCAGGGGTATATCAAAATGTTGGAAGATATTTGGCCCTATAGGACTTCAATTTGACACTCCTGATCAAGCTACATTTCCTGCAATTGTGTGACAAGGTGTAAAGGCACAGCCCACCTCACAGTGGAACAGAAAGACATGATTCATGTGTGTTATGACCCATGTCACACACCTTCATATATTTTGGGTTTTATAATGGTGAGCTTCAGCCGGTGATTACATTTGTGCAAGTTCACTTTTTGAGTTTTCTTTCCCCCACCGAAAGGCTGTATGCCCAATTTAACCAGCATCATCTGTGTGTTTGTCACCTGTGGAAAGCTAAAGGCTGTCTAGAATAGGCATGGCAATCAGGCCTTAATTTCTTACCCTGCCCTCAATGTGTTCTTACCACTGATCTCTATTCACTGGATTGCTGATTGCCGGAGAAAAGTGATGTATCCAGCCGGTATGTTGGTGGTACTCACTCCTACAGAGATGTGCAGTAAAAATGCATACGCATGTAGCATTTGACTGCAAACACAAGCAGTTAGCCGGCTGTAGGAAGTCGTTTCACAGGTAATATAGTCAGTGATTGTACTAACCACGAAAATCCATATATATGCCGAAAGTATAGTATGTAGTGTAACATTAGTATGGCTATCTCGGACCGATTCGGGCACATTGACGGAGTTATTGACGTGTCTAACATTAGAAAACAAAGTAAATAGAAAGTAATTCACTGTGAAATGTAATTCTTAAGTGGATGATGCTGCTGTTTTTGTAGTTGGTTGCATTTCTCATTTGAAAAAGTCATGTGCTGAAATATATTGCATGTTATGATGAAAAAAAAAGCAACTCAAACATTTTTAAAGGCAAACAGACGGTGCGTAAAAGCAAATGCATTAATTTAATGCACAATTTGCAATTAGGAAAATACTATAGCATTAACAGACGTGTACTTGTAATTCAGTCTTGATGTAAAATTTTGTAATTATATGTAATGTTATAAATGTTATAACAATGTCATCTATACATGTACATCATCACTTTAGCACTGTTGGCACATCTGTATTAAGCTAAATAAACATTCATTTTGTTGTGATGAACTTGTGTAATATGTTACACAAGTTCATCACTTGTGTAACATATTACACAAGTGATGGGGGGGGGGGACTAAAAGGTCCTGTTAAAATTAAAGTGTGAAAGATAGTTTTGTGTTTCACAATAATCGGGGACAAATTATCCAATACTGGCACATCTAAGGATTGTGGGAAACACTGGTTTCACAACTTGGACCAATAGCATGTTTTATTTTTTATTTTTTGTGAAGCCCAGAAATATCTGATCTTAGAGGTAGATATCTCAGCATAAGGAGCCGCCGTCAGCTGCATTCCTCTTTGTCTTCAACTGGCAATTCAGTTTTACTGACTTCCTTTAAGTAGGTGATTTTAATTGGAGATTTTTTTTTTAATCAACGCTTTAGCTGTAATTTGTTCCTAATTAACCTTGCAAATAGTTTCACCAAGTTTCGATGAATGCTTTCAGAGAGTTTGATTCATGGTTGAGACTTTTTTGACCAGTAAGCCAACATCTGTGTTGACCTCCAAACAAATTTAACATTGAAATTTGAGTTATTGCTGATTAAAGAATAAAATAAACATTTTGATCTTGGCCTGAAATAAACTGAACTGTAGAGACTTGGTTCTTCAATTTTTCTACACAAGCTGCAAACTCCAAATGTAGTTTTTCCTTAAAATGTGTTAAGTTACCATACTTTTCGAGCTTAATTAAAGGAAATGTTGATCCATTAGTGCTAACATTTCAAGAACCTGTGTATGAGAATGAACGCAGACCCAGTTTTCTGATTTGGAAATGACTCCATGGCAGGACAGCAGTCGATCTTAGCTTTTCATATTAGTTATTCGTTCCAAAAGAGAAAATACTTAATAAATCAGAGTTTTTTTCCCCCGTTTTGAGTGGCCAGAGCTATTTTCATAGCTGGCAATGAAAATATTGTCAATATTGACATAAACATGTTAAGGCCTTTTTTTGATCAAGGTAATGCTCTGCTTTTTCTTAGGCTTTAGACTTCTCTGTACAAGTTAGAGTACAGAATCTGTTAGCCAATCATAAGTCTAAATATATTTCCTTCAACTGTTTAAAGTTTCACTGTTTGAGTTTCACTTCTTCCAGTAGTGGATCAAGTACTCAACTATAGTACTTGAGAAAAAGTATTGATACTCATACTCAAAACTTACTCAACCACTAGTAAAAGTTACACAGTGAAACATCTCAAGTTAAAGTATTCAAGTACTCACTTTTGAAAAGACTTAAGTATTCGAAAGTACATGCATTTAAAAGTATTGAAGTATTCAAAAGTTCAATGTTCTAATATCAGTACATGTCTGCATAATTTTCAGAGTAAAGAACCTTTCAGAAACCACCTGATGTATTGAGGTATAGAACCTCCTGCTACAGATTCTACAGCACCTGGAAAGAAATTTAGCATCAAAAGGCCACAAAAATAAGAAAAGCGATTTTGATTATTTTAAAAAAAGCCAAAAAGAAATAGTCTTAATTCTTCTCACACTTTTACTGTGGAATAGACGTTTAAGTTTCAATCTATTACCACAAAGAAACAGCAAGTCTGATTTGAGAACTCTTCCTACTGAACAATTTGGCCACATGGCAACAACTAGCGGCTTCATAAAATATATAAACTACAAATAATGTCTGCCCAAAGTTTCTCACATTTGTGGAATTTTATGCAAATCTCTAAAACAGTGGTGTCCAATATCAGTCCTAAGAGCTGCTAACTGCTATGTTGAAATTGCATTTCAAGAAAGTAAAACAGCAACAGTGGATTACAAAGCTGACTGAGTTAAAAGGAACAATAAACTAGCAGCTTCCTAGAAATGTAATGGATAGAAAGTGCAGTGTTTGACTTTGAAATGTAGTGGAATACGCCTCTAAAAACTAACTCAAGTAAAGTAAAAATACTTAAATAAAATACTTAAATGTACTTTATTACTTGCAACCACTGACTTCTTCATACCCCTTTTCATTTTACAGCATGTTTGTATATGTTCAATTATTTTCAATCAATTCCTCAGCAATTTTTATAAAGTATGTCCTAGATATTTTCTGCTGATGGATCTTGTTTAAATGTTCAAATTCCAAAAAGAGAAGCTGGGCCTCAACAAAGCTGCCATCGTACCTTTGTGCCAAGTTTAGATTTAAAATATTTATCCCCTAATTTTTGATAACTAGATTTAAAGGTGAAGTTTAGTGCTTTCTTGACACACAGATATTTGTAGCTTTATTTGGATTAACCAACTTGCCAAATAAATAAATAATGATTATTTTTAAAGCGGCTCTGTGTTTCTTTTAGCTATTAAATTCCAGGTTTAGCGCCCCTAAGAAGACTGACAACACTGAAGAACACTCTGGATCAGCAGAATGAGACTTCGAGTTATCTGTAAAAACAAGGCCGCATTCACCGCTCTAGATTAAATCCTTCATCAGAGAAACATCATCACCATCAATGGTCACATATGTTTTGTTGCTTAGCAACAATATTTAACATAGCTTTGGTGTTTAAGGGGAGCTCATACTGCTTTAAATTGGCGATCGGGGTCACAGATCTCATTCAGCGACAGATTAGACCCTCATTCACTGGAAAAAATGAAATCTAGATAAGTAATTTTTTCTTAAAATAAGTGCATTTGCTCTTGGATTTGAGAGGTAAAAGAGACTTCTTGCCAATGGAACAAGACAATTTACACTTAAAATAAGAAAATCTTATAAATCTTATAAAATAAGAAAATCTTATTTTAAGTGCATATTATCTAATTATCTTATTTTAAGATAAAGAAGAGCAACCTACATGGGGCATTAACATGACATGTGCTGTATATTGACCTGAAAAAAATCCTTTAATATATCTTAAATAATTTGGGGGAAAATGTTGTACTGGTTTAAGGTATTTGTGCTTTCTACTGAACAGGATAGAAATATTTATACAGATATGACCGAACAGTCTCTCAACTATTGAAATCAGTTTCATTAGTAGAATGAGCAAAAGTTTCACTATACAATTTAAGAGCTAATGTTGAATCTAAAATAAAAGAAAATGCTTGAGAAATACCCCTGATCCACAGCTCTGATTTAGAATAAACAGCTGTATTAATCAAAGTTCTTAAGGAAACAGGGATTTTATTTCAAAGTGCAAACAGGTTTTATCTCCTTATGAGTTTTAAAAAAAACAACAGAATCTAACTGAGATGTTCTCTACAGGCTATGGGCCCTTTGCTAAACCTGGAACCAACCGGCTGCAGGCCACATTCATTGAAACCAATTAGCTTCTAAGTTCAGATTCCAGCTGTTGTTTCAGGTTGTCAGCTACCTTGGACCCCCATGAGTGAACGGTTCTACACTCAGAGGTCACCTGCTGGGAATGAGACTCAGTTATTGGCTCTAAAAGCAGCTCATTAAGATTTAATTGGACAAGCATCACCTGGAGCTGAAGCGTTTGGCAAGCTTCTTTGTCGATTGTGAGTCGTTGGTTTTCACTGGAAAGCGCTTTTCTTGTGGATGTCTTCTTCTTTGCATGTAGGTGATTTACCTCACCACCTCTGTATGCAGAAAATAATCTGAGTTTAATGACAGGCGTTTCTCTTTGTTCAGATATGGAGGCAGCCACACCTAACTTGCAGCATTCTTTCGGACTGGGCCCTCGAGGTCCAAACCCAAAGCTTGGATCTGAGCACACTGCTCCTGGTCCGCCTCGCTCTGAGGAGCAGCACCACAAACCCTTCTTCTACATACAGTCGTCGCAGCCTTACATGCCCGTTCAGGGTCTGCAGTGGCCTGTGGCCATGCCTGTGCCCATGTCTTACAACCCATATTATGGTTATCCCGGCTTAGGTAAGGCTCTGGATTTCTCTTTGACTGTTGACTTTGCTTTATTTGTGTTTTTATTAGCTCAGTTGTCTTACTATGCAAAATGATCTGGGTTATTTAAGGCAGCCAATGTATTAAATTTTACGAATGGCTTAAATCACAAACCTTAAAACCATTAGCTAACTCATCTTAAATGTATCATTCCATAACTGCACTGCTTAAGGGGTAAATGGAGTCACTTTTTTTAGTTTTATTAGAATTAAGCAAAGCTTTAAACTCTGGAATAATTCCTTAAGGGTTCAAAATCTACTCCAAGTGAGCTGATTTGTCTCCATGTATTTTACCCATTTTAATCCAAATTGTCTCATCAGTCATCTAACTTGATTCAGGTGTGTTTGGCCAAGGACACGTCTAAATGTTGTAGGACACTGATCTTAAGGATGGGAGTTATACACCTCTGACTTTTATGTTTGAAATTTATCAAGCATATTCTCTGTTCATCCTCTGGGTTTTCTTGGATAAAGTAGATTTTAACTTCTTGCTCTTATTAGTTTGCACCCTTTTTTTTTATTTTTTTATTTTATAACGATAGGACTAGAGAGACTTGATACTTTTCTTAGTAGTTTTTTCAGTTGTTCTAACAGTTTCTTTTGTTTGAGGTCAATATTGCCAAACCTGCAGAAAAGCAATTGGTGACACTCGGTTCTATGACTTGTGCAAAGCTTTCCTTTGTATTTATGTTGCATCAAAGACTGACCACTACATGTTAATTGGAAGGATAAGAATGGACGGAATCAAATGTTAAGAGACTAAATCACTTAATTTATTTTACTTGGACAATATGTCCTGAACTTGTAAGGAAATTGTATTTTCTTCCAGCATTGCCCTCTGGTAGTCATAGGGAAGATAAGGGAAACGTAAGCATGATTTTGATAAAATTGTTAAACTGTCAGCCTTCAAACAAAGTAATTGGAGCTTTTGCCAAAGTTCTCATCTATCTTTAGGACAGGTCATAATATAGGATGTGAAATTCAAGTCTTTAGATGTTAAATTCCTGCTTACTCTTATAAATGGTAAAAAATAGCTGCACGTAAGGAGTGGGAAAAACTCATTGTTTTAATGCACTCTAGTTTGCCCTTTCCTGCCTTAGGCCCCGTCCACACGAAGCCGAACCCTGGCCTAAACGCACACATTTTTCACCAAACCAGCCTCTCATCCATACGAAGCCGGCGTTTCGGGGTCTGTAAACGATCTTTTTTTTTATTAAGCCTTCAGAGTGGGAAGATTTTGAAACGCCGTTTTCGCATTTCCATCTTTAAGCTCTAACCGCATTTCTTTTTTTACACGCATGCGTCATAGCGTCGCCTCTAAACACGCATGCGCGACACAGTATCACAACAATGGCGCCGTACTGTGTTGAATGGTTGCTGCTCATGCTACTCACCCTGCTGTCGGGCTTACAACAGAATCTTCTTCTGGAATATCTCCAGGAAGAACAGAGCAATATCGACGACATAGTTCAGCACCTGAATTTGACTTAACCACGAAAATGGACCCACAGGGCCATTTTCCGGTTTTCCGGTTTGGTTGTTGTATAAATATTACTGCGCATGCCCAACATTTCGTTGCCTGTTTTCGCCTATTTTTGCTTTGGCACCACAGCACCACTTACAGGCCTGGCATACATTTTGCAGCGTTTTCATGCATTCGTGTGGTCGATCACATTTATTTTACGTCTCCGTCTTTACGACAAACGTTCTGGAAAATATTAGCGTTTCGTGTTTGTTTTGACTTCGTGTGGACGGGGCCTTAATCATGTCATTTTGATGCACATAGTGTAAAACATTTGTCATCTTGGCAAATGCTTTAATTTTTTTGCTGTATTTAAATGTCTGTTTTGTCTTGGTAAAGGGTTTGGCCTTCCAATGATGCCTCACTATCAGCAAAATCCCTATGTTGAGCCCCCTGGATTTGTTGTTCCTCATACCCACCTCCATTTGATGGACTACAGGCGCATGCTGAATCAGCAGTACTACCACACCATGGCCTACCATGCCCGCCGGTTCCGTTACCAGCACAACTCTGCGTCCAAAGAGATGACCAGCTCTGAGGTTCAAACTGAGCCACTTCTATCAGTTCATAGGACCAGTACCCCAAGGTCCAGCGAGTGCTCCACCAACAATACTCCTGGTGTCTCTACAGATCAGCTGCAGTCACCAGCTTTGACTGTACATTCAGAGGGACATTCTTCGGAGATCCAAGAGAAGGCATCCTCTTCAAACGCTGGGACTCCATCAAACAGCAGCTTTGTGATTCAAACTGAGGAAGTGAGGATTGAATGCTGCACCACACCAGTTGGACTCCAACTACTGCACTCTCATGAGGCTGCAGAAGTGTCCCACAGCTTTTCCCAGGATCTGGTCCAGTGTAGTTCTCTTACTCAAAGCGGTATCCTGCAGGATGAGGGGCTGGACCTTCCAGCAGACCCGTCTGAACAGAACCCAAAAGTTTGTCCAGACATCCTGTTAGTTGGTATGCCGCACACTGAGAAGGCTAATTCCCAAAAGCAGCCCAGAAACCAGGTGGCTTGTGTGATTGCAAACGAAGCAGGAGAGACTAGAAGTGATCAAGATTTGAGTTTGAACTCGAAGAGTTTTCACTTCAAAGTTGTACAGGTGCCGTTTGATCCAACATATTTGGACAAACTTAGGAAAATGGAATCTACAGTCTGGTCGGCAGAGGAAACCTTCATGACTTCGCCTGTGAGTGCTTCCAATAAAGCAATCAATGATTTACCTGCAGAAAAACCACCAGAAATGCTAATGTTGACTACAGAGGTTCCTACTGATGAAGTAATTCCTGTAAAAGAGATGCCTCCACTGGCGGAGGTTGAACTGGAGGAAATTATCCCCACAGTAGGAAGTATCGAAAGCATGTCCAACACCAATATCTGCCCTGGTACGTGTGATGTTCCACTTCCCGAGCTAACGAAGGCATCAGAGGTAACTCTTTCAACTACTATTCTGTTGGACAACTCCCCTCCTGAATCGGATGGAGAGCAACACCAGCATGAAACTACAAATGACCAAGATCACCAGGACACCTCCTTTGAATCTTTGCCTGCCTACCTTCCTTCCACCAGTTGGCTTTCTGACTTTGATCATAGCTATTACTGCAGAAAAATGCCACTACCTTCCATCAAGCAGAACAGACAAATTAGTCTTCATGGTCCAGAGGTTTCAAAAAGGAGAAGAAAGCTAGATTTGGATTATAAAGATCAACCTAATGTTCGGAAACCAAAAGAGAGGTACAAGCCTAAAGGCAAGGTGGATCGGCAAAGTATCTCTGACCACGAGTGCTGCCTGAGCAGAAATCTCAATGAGAACAGGTTCAGCTCTCGCAGGTCAAAGAATGAGCGTCTCTGCACAAGATGTACGACAAAACGAAGAATCAGCACGTCTCCTATTTCAGTTCGTGACGGCCGTACCTCTAAAAGGAAAGCTGTTCCCTTCCAGCAGTGGAATAATGTCCTACCAACATGTGAAGCGTGCAAATCGCACGGTAAGGGGCAACTCGTGAGAAAAAGTTCCAATCCGGATCTTTGCTCTCCCCACTACGGGCATGACACAGAGGGGGAATCCTCTGGGAACAGCTCATGCTGGACGGGACCCAAATGGAGGGTTGCTGGCAACTCTAAAAAACTTCAGGACATCAAGAGGCCGCTGGCATCCAGGCAGATGGTAACCAGAAGTCCTGCAGCAATCCCAGCGATGCTAAGGGAGAGGAACTGTGCTCATAAACCAGAACCACAAAACCAGTCTGTTGGTTGGGAAAGGCTGCGCCACTGTCCGCATGGGAACACCATCCAAGAGACTGACGAGAACTGCGCTGTTCCGGTGTCACTTGAGGAGAAATGGAGAAGCCTGGATCAGCTGTACCTGACGCACAGAGGGCAAACCGGTAAGTCAATGGTTTCAGAAAAAAGAAAAAAAAAAATCATGGGGCCATATTTGTTACTGCCTCAATTTAGATTTGTATTGGATACTCAAAGGCTGATTCTTGAAAAACCGTGGTTGCTGTGACTTCTAGATCTAGTTGTGCAGAAAAACTTTGAGCATTTTTGCTTTTTAGTTCAGTTTTTTCTGCGGTATGAGGAAAAACTTGACTTCATATTTCGTTGTCGGCCTGTCTTCCAGCAAAGAGGTCATGGAGGGATCCGACGCCCACCACTCGCAACGGTCGCTTCATGAAGGAGGCTACACTACAGCACTTTATTAATCACAAGAAAACTCAACCACTGTCACAAGGTTTGAGCTTGATGGTTTCCTTTTTTTAAGAACTTAGTTTAAACCTTTAATGATATTGGACTAAAATGAAATAAAGAAAACTAATGCTACAGTTCCCAAGTGTTTAAAGGCTACAATCAGTGCTTTGCACTGCTTTTATTTTGTTTTCGTCTGAGGCTAGACTATTGTCATTTGGAAATGTCTCTCATGGAAGAAACTGGCAAAGATGGGGGGGGGGGTGTTGTTCTTGGTAGGATATCTGTTTCGAAGATGCTGAACAAGTGTAAAACTGTCTTCATCCTCACTGCATCACTGGTATACATGAATCCTGGATTGCTTCAATATAGAATTACTAAATTGGATTAAATTTGAAGAACTTTTTACAGTTGGGGGTGGGGGAGAGGGATTTAATTGGATGATTTGGTGCATTTGCATTGTTCAGCAATGCATCTAGATGCATGTTGGTTGCATATTAAGTCTTGTTAAAATGTGAAATAATTCATTTTAACTTTTTTTTTCTTCTCTTCTGCAGGAACCTACACAACAGAAACAAGATGCTGATTTGCACAAGAGCACAACTCAACTGAGCACAACCAATGTTTTTAAATGATCAACACTTAAATTATTTGGCACTTTATTCAAGTATGTAAATAAGCACTATGTCCACTATTTATTGTGACTAAAATAAACACAGATTTCATAGTTTTTGCAAACGGTTGTTCTGAATTTGTCCATTGGAGGGAGCCATTTCTTAAGCCATCACCACAATAGAACATTTCACTTTTTATTTTTTAAAGAACCTGGATTATTAAAATTGGACACTGTCTCAGTTAACAGTTGAGGGGTGGGTTTGTGTGTTTTTTTTTTTAGTTTCCACCTCAAAAGACGAGTAGAATGGAAATAATGCTACGTTAACTAAACTGTGACCTTTTAAGAATTGGTACAAAGAAAAGACAAAAGTAGAAAGATCATAATTTGGAAAAAAAAATATTAGAGTGAACTAGAATAACATTGTATGCAAATTCTAGTTAGGCATTTCTCTAAACCGCAAAAAGCCCTTCCAGCAAGAATCTCTGTTCCTTGCCTTCCGAATGGCTCAGCATACTTGTGTAGAAAGGTCATGAGAAGCGCCTTAATTGGATTATTAAAAAGCAAAACCCACTGGCACATGTACTCTAAACTATTCAATAAAGGAAATGTCCTAATCTTTAAATTCCTGATAAAACTGGGTTGTCCCTTTGTGGCCAAACCTGAGACATTTTGATTATTGCAGCTTTGATGGTAATATCCAGGGACCATTTGGAAAAAGAAACCTGAAGGTGATATCATTTTGGGAACTTGTGATACTCTATAAAACTCAGCTGACAGATCATGCTTGTAAATTTCTATTGTCTTGAATCGAAAGTTACATAACTATAAATAAAATGGAACAAAATCTACATAGCTAAGCTTTAAAAATTGTGAGAGAACGAGTTTGCCTAATCTATGGAATCTTGTTCCTGCTAAAGTTGCACCAGGAAAAAGCAAAAGTGATTATAGCCTACAGAGTTTTTTTTTTTTTTTTTAAAGACCTGAAAGCAGGAAAAAATTAAAAGGAAAAATTTCACACGGGTGTGCAGGAGTCTCAGTGGTTGGTGCGCACGACCCATGTACGGAGGTCTTAGTCCTCGACGTGGGCGACCTGGGTTCAAATTTGGCCTGTGGTCCATTGCCGCATGGGGAAGGTTCACTAGTGCCGTAAAAAAAATTCACACTAATGGAAAAAACTTGAGACTGAAGAAAACGTTTTGAGAATAGTAATTTAGAAGAAATTAAAATTGGAAAATTATTTTCAAGGGAAAAAAGCTCTCTCAAATTATACTTTCAAAATCTCTTTTTTTTTTTTTTTTTTGCGATCAGAATAAAAACATTTCCTCTCGAATGGATTTCAAAACCTTTGCTCTAGCCTGATAAACCAGACTAAATGTGTAATTTAGTCTGGTGCCGATGAATGAGATCGGAAGATTGAGAACAGCCCGTTGTTTTTCAAACCATGTCTGTGCCTATTGGCCAACGCTCTGACCAATGAGCGCAACAGAAAGCTAGTGGGGGAGTGTAAACATACAGCCTGTTGGTAAAACGGCGAATATGTCCTTCTTAAAAATGAATGAGCGTAGAGTCTCTTCCTTCTCACGTTTCAACAAAAACCCCAAGTCTAATCCTTCCAGAACTGATTCCAAAGCTGAGTAAAATGAGAACTGTTCAATAGTTGTTGCCATCTTCCTTGTGTTTTCTCCAGCGTCGTGCTACTTTGTCGTCACGCCCTCAAAACCCCGCCCGCTTTGCATCCAGAAATTCAAAACGCATCACTGCGTTGAGATTGGCCCGCCAGTTCTAGGGCCTGGGACATTGATCGAGTCTAGACCACTCGCAGGCAAAAATGATTCTGGCTGCTGGCAGGTGGGGCTAGTTTACTAGGCTATCTTTGCTCTTGATTCAGGATTTTTCTTTTTAAATGTGCCATTGGCGGGTCTGTGTTCCTATTAGGCATTCAAAAGAGCAGATAGCCAAAATATTGTTTATCCTTTTAACTATATAAACAACTGAAGAGCTAATAAGTAAAGTTTATGACAAAATCTTTGTATTAGAAAGTTGGTAATGGCTGTATGGTGGGGCTCTAAGGCATATACATTTTTGCTAAAATGTTAGTTTTGTGAAAGGAAAAGGGATTTCAAAATGAGACATTTCTTGCACACTGTAAGTAAAACACATTTTTTTTTTGCAGAATAAGATACAAATCTCGCATAACCTGGTTGTGCACATCCTTAAACAAGCTAGCATTGAAGCAGCTGTTGATCATTTAGTCTTCTTTACACCTACCTACCAGGTATAGTGAATAACATGATATATATAGGAATTCAGATGGAGATAGTGAATATTATGTACCTTAAAGGAGAATTCCGGTTTTTAACACTTTTAGCCCATTTTCTGTAGTGTCCAGGATGAAATCGAATGATCGACACCAAAATTTTGACAATTGGTCCTGTCTCTGCTTTTTGGCTCATGCAGAATCCCCCCCCTGGCTGCTTCAGAATGGCTTCCATTGTGCATGTCCGATAATGTCCTTAAAACAACCTTAAACTTTCTTTTTTTAAAATATGCTACTCACCGGGTCGTCAGCGCTGTTCAATGACGTTCCAAAAAAAGTTTCGTGAAGAAAAACCGTTCCTCTCTAGTTTTATTTAGCATTTTGTAAATCCCAGAACTATTTTTTCCGATACATCACAACCGCTTATAAACTTCCGCTTCCCGTTCGAATCTGAAGCGTTGCACACTCCAGACCACTAGTTGGCGACGGTATCCTCTACCGTCAAACTCAAAGTCCAATATGTCCTCCTCAAGAATCCACCTTTCGTATTCCATTTTCAGAGTTTTTTAAAGTGTTTAACAGAGACGTTAGCACCTCGACGTCGGAGTACACAGAGTGAAGCAGAAAAAAACTTGGGCCTTGCGAAAAGACTACAACTAAGTGTAAACAGGCCCCATTTCCGTTTCCGGTGGCGGAGGGATATTGACTATTCCAACAGAACTCAATGGGATTTACAAAATGCTAAATAAAACACTACAGGAACGTTTTTTCTTTACGAAACTTTTTTTGGAACGTCATTGAACAGCGCTGACGACCCGGTGAGTAGCATATTTTAAAAAAAGAACGTTTAAGGTTGTTTTAAGGACATTATCGGACATGCACAATGGAAGCCATTCTGAAGCAGCCAGGGGGGGATTCTACATGAGCCAAAAAGCAGAGACAGGACCAATTGTCAAAATGTTGGTGTCGATCATTCGATTTCATCCTGGACACTACAGAAAATGGGCTAAAAGTGTTAAAAACCGGAATTCTCCTTTAAAGTTCAGCTGCCCTTGTTAAATAGTTTTCTTTAGGTTTTACAGCAAAAGTGCAGAATATGAATGATCTGCTGTATTCTCCATACTTCTGAACAAGAAGTACGACTAAAATTTAGGATGTCTTTCATTTTTCAAAATAAAACTCTAACCCTTATTAAAAATATCCATATCATTATTTAAGAAATTTTTGTGGTCTGAGTCGATGCAATCAACTGGTTTTCCTTAGAGGACTTTGAATCAATTTCACTGTATGATCTGGTTAAACTGTAAAGTGCCTTGAGATGACATGTGTTGTGAATTGGCACTATAGAAATAGACTGAAATGAATTGATGAAATATGAGACTAAATCTTTGACCACAATAAAGTGGCTTTAGCAAAAAACAAAACAAAAACCCCAACTATCACTTTAAAAACGCCATGAGCACAGTGAAACATGGCAGCAGGAGCATCATGCTCTGGGGTTACTGTTCCACAGATGGATCTAAGGTTTTTGCTAAAGTGGATGAAGTTGTGAGTGTTTCTAAATAGCAGGCGGTTTTGGCCCACAAGCCTCAAATGTTTACCTTAATTCAAAGCTTTAATCAGGTGGAGTCATTTAGATAGTGTGGAGATCGGATAAATTTGATAATCTAATGCAAAGGGCAACTTTCCAGTTATAATTTGTAAAATGTTGATATTAAATTATAAAAGTTTGGATTGATTTATCATGATCTGATGTTTTAAATCACAGAAACCTCTGAATTTTGTATTGTGTGTAATAGTTCGAAAAAATTAATACTTTATATCTATGATACCATTTGAACAAAAAAAACGTTCTTCCACCATTGTACCTCTCATTCACCTTTATTTATTGGTTATTTTTTTTTTATTAAAAACTGTTTAAAATAAAGGTTTAAACTGGAGAACCAATCTGGTGATGGCTCAGTACTTTATATTTGTCTACTGTTTCCTGTAGTGACGTAAACGTTGGACCAAACAATTTCCCACACTGTCAATCCCATGACATCTACTTGATATGATACTGCGGTCAATACACTCACCTTTTAACTCCTTTTGTGCTTGAAATGCAAGAAAAAATATTGGAAAACAATGAAAGGTGTTCTCTACAGGATTACTCAAACCTCAGCAAGTAAAAAAACGTCCAATGAAAGGTGTCGCCCTTTTAACGATTAGGTCAGCAAAATCATAACAGAAGTTTTTAATGATGTGTTTGGGCCAAAGACATTTTGCTCCCATACGGTATTAGTAAACAAAAAGGAACTAATTAGACCGACAGTTTGTCTTATAAGCTGGTAAAGGGACTGCAGCACATGTTATTGATTGTTAATACACAATGCTTCTCCCTATGGGCTTAAATACACATTTGTATTGAATACACAGTAAATCCTGCTGGAGCAGACCATTAAAGCTTGTGTAGTGATCAACAGAGCTTTGAGACCAGGTAATGAAACCAGGGGCTCTGACATCGTCTGAATGAAACATGTAATGTGCTGCAATAATAGCTTCCCTGGCTGCAGGGGAGGTGAAAGCTTGGATGTAGAAGGCATGTTTCTGTCATTTTGCTTGTGTTTGGGAATTGCAGTGGTTGATGTGCTACTCTGATTTTCAAGATGTTGCAATAGGCTAACACTTGCTTGGCTTCTCTTGCTTCACAGCCTTCATGGGAAGAGCACAGACACTCCATGTAATGTCTTCAAAAGACAAAGATCTACTTGATGCTTTTTGAAATTGAGACAATTGGAAAGGTTTTGAAGTTTATTGAACGCTGTCCGGTTCTGAAGTCCTTCCACTGGCTCCCTGTGGCTCAGAGAATAGACTTTAAAATCC